TCATTCTGCGCAGATGGTTTCGGGAATGCTAGGTGTTGTTGCACTATTGCAGAGATCTGTGGCTAGTTTGGATGAATCTTCAGGTGGCATTGGTGTTGAAGAGAGATGAAGAGAGTTGAAGAGAGTTGACATCAGAGTGGCTATCCATTGGATGAATGATGAATTAACGGTGCCAGATGGTGAATGATGGTGATGGTGCCAGGAACAGGAGGCGTTCTTCAACATGTCCCTCTCTGTTATAGACCAGGTGCAGCTAGGTTCCACCATCTCCGTCTTCGACGCAGCAGTGCTTGGCAGCACGCTGTCTGTCCTGTCGGATGTGAGGCTTGGTAGCGCGTTGTCTGTCTTTGATGCAACAGTGCTGGGCAGCATTCTCTCCACATATTCCAGGGTCTGCTTCGGCAGCACCCTCTCCGTAGCAGACCAGGTGGACTTAGGTAAGTCGCTCTCCGTCAAAGACTTCGTCCGTTTCGGTGGGTCGATTTCTGTAGAGTGCAGATCCAACTTGGGTAGCTCTCTCTCCGTAGCGAGCTTTGCACGACTTGGAAGCACATCATCAGTCTTTGGCATCGTCCGCTTTGGTTCCTCGACGTCCGTCAAGGACTTTGCCACATTGGCGAGTTCGCTCTCCGTGGCAAACTTTGCACGACATGGTTTCACGATGCCAGCCTACGACTTTGCTCGACTTGGTAGTTCACTGTTTGCCTTGGACTTTGGCCATTTCGGAAGCTCGTTTTCCATGTGTAGCTTTACGTGAACGGGGAGCTTGCTGTCCGCCTATGGTACAACCAGACTTGACTTGGCGTTGTTAACGTTAGATTTTGCCATGATGGGTTTACCACCGTCACTGCATGGCTTTGCATAATCAGGAAGTGCATTGCCTGTCTATGGAGTGATGTGTCTAGAATTATCTTTGCTTGTGTTAGACCACGTCCAAATGGCTTCAGCCTCATTCCTTAGAGGCATGTGTCACGCAGGTTTGGCATTTTTAGTATTTGGGGTCTCATGCTCTGATTCTTCCATTTCTGTGCTGGACTCTGTTCACATGGGATCTCCCCTATTCCTTAGAGGCTCCTCGCGCTATGGATTTTTTCTGTTGGTCTATGGCATGCAGCGACTTGGCTTCTCGCCATTTGCCTTGGACTTTGTTCACTTAGGTCCTGCCCCATTTTTGCGAAGCTCCGGTCGTTCAGGATCCTCCATGTTGGCTTACGGCATGGCCAGCCTTGACTTGATCCTGTCAGTCTTAGATCTTGTGCAATCAGGATCTCCCTTTTCTTCATGTAGTTTTTCGTGACCAGGCAGTGTGGCGTCAACCTACGGCATGGCACGCCTTGGCTTCTCAACGTTGATTCTAGACTTTGTGCATTCAGGTTCCTTGCTGTCAATTCACAGTTCTGCATGTTTCGGCTTGTTGACGCCTGTTTACGGCATGGCTTGATTGGACTTCCCCTTGTCAGCCTTAGATTTTGTGACTTCGGGCAGTTCCATATCCTCACAGGGTTTTTCACGAGTAGACTTGGTGGTGTCCCTTTATGGCGTCGTTTGCTCAGATTTTTCTCTGTTGGTTCTTGACCATGCGTCCTTCGGACCGTTGGTTTCTCTGCAGAATCCAGTTTGTGTCGGATCGGCTTTGTCAGTTTATGGCATGACCAGTCTTGGTTCACTTCTGTTGGCCTTGGACTTTGTCCATATGGGCTTCGCAATGTCTTTGCAAGGCTTCCAACAACTTGGCTTTTTGCTGTTTGTCTTCTCAGAAGTGCGGATGGGTAGTTGCCTTTCAGCTAGAGACAAAGCAGAATTCGGTAGTGCAATCAGCGTGCAAAGCTTTGCACGCCTTGGTTCTTCCCTGTTTGTCTACGGTTTAGTTTGTTCTGGTTTGGCCATGTCAGTGCTTGACTTTTGCGCGCTTGGTAGCTTGCTGCCTTTGCGGAGCTTCGCGTGCATGGGTTTGTCTCCACTACTATTTGGTTTGCTGTGATCAGGTTTTGTCATGCCGGTTCCAGACCATGTGCAAGCCGGATTTGCTACTTCAATCAGAACTTTGGGTCGTTTGGGCTTTTCACTTCCGGTCTTCGGCTTATTGTGGCCAGGTTTTGCAATGTCACCTCTGGATCCCATCCACGCTGGTTTGCCCTTGCCTCTGCGCGGTCTTGCTTGCCTGGGACTTCCCCCACCAGTCTTCGGCATGAGTTGCCTTGAACTGGTATTGCCAATTCTTGACTGCTTGCATCTTGGATCCACACTTTTGTTGCATGCATGGGGCCGCTCCGGCCCATCCTTGTCCGTTTATGGCATGGCCTGTTTAGGATTGCTCTTGTTGGCGCTGGACTTTTTCCACCTCGGTTTCACGTCTTCAACTCGAAGTTACTGCAAGGTAGGCCCTTCTTCGTCGATCTGTGGCATGTCTTGTTCTGAACTCTCTGCACTTGTGTTGGACTATGCACTTATGGCGCCACCAATGTCAACTCGAGGATATAGTCAAGTTGGCCTCACCTCATTGGTCGCTGGGCGAAGTCGCTTTGGCAGCTCCTTGTTATCATTGGACTTGCTGCATTTGGGACCTGCAACGTCCATGCGAAGTCCGTGTTGAGCAGGATTCACCTTCTTTGTCTTCGGCACCACTTGCTTTGGAAGTATCATGTCGTTGACTGATTTTTCAATGATGGGATCCATCCTGCTTCTGAGAAGCTTCATGCGAACAGGTTTTTTCTTGTTGGTCTTTGGCATGACTTGCTTGGGATCATCCCTGCCAGCATTAGACCTTGTGAATTTAGCATCGATGATGCCTCTTCACAGCTTCTGTTGACCTGATTCCACCTTCTTGGTCTTTGGCATGTCACGTTATGAAAGCACCGTGCCTGCTTTGGACAACTGTTTCGTGGGGAGTGTGATGTCTCTCAGGAGCCCTTTGCAGCTTGGATTTTGCCTATCTGCTTATGGCGTGTCGAAGTTGGACCCCTCGTTGCCAACCCTAGACCACCTCCAAGCTGGCTCGTCCTTGCCACTGCAAAGTCACATCTATTTGGGCTCTGTGCCTTCTGTCTTCGGAATGACGTGCCTTGGTCCATTGCCTTTTGCCTTGGACATTCTGCACTTGGGATTCTTCATGTTCTTGCGATCTTACTTGCATTTGGGGCTTCCCATGTCTGTCTATGGCATGGCATGACTGGATTCCACCACGCTTGCGCTAGACCCTGTGCATTCGGGACCTGCCTTGTTGCTCCGAGGGCTCCTCCGCTTTGACTCACCACTGCTGGTGTTTGGCATGTCGTGTTTAGGATCCCTTCCTTTAGCCTTGGATCACATCAACCTGGGCTTTATGATGTTACTCCATGGCTCCATGCGAATTGACTTCACCATGTTAGCCTTTGGCATGGCCTGCCTGGAATTCTCTTTGCTGACTTTGGACTTGGCTCATCTTGGCCTTTCCCTGTCTCTCCAAGGATTTTCCAGGATTGGATTATTGCTACCTGCCTATGGAATTGCACGAATCGATTCTTTGTTACCTGTGCTTGATTCTGTAAGCCTGGCATCCTCTTTGTCGCTTCAAAGCCTCGCTTGTTTGGGAAGCTGCCCATCAGCTTATGGACTGACCATGCTCGGCTCTTCACTGCCTGTGTTGGACATGACCTACATTGAATTTCCCTTGCTGTTGCACAGCTATGCATGTTTGGACTTCACCCTATTGATTTATGGAATCGCCAAACTTGAACTAGTCCTGCCTGTCCTGCACTTCGTGACGCTCGGATCGTCCTTGTTGCTGCGTAGTCTCATGCGTGTCGGCAGCACGATGTCAACTTACGGTGTTGGTTGATTGGGTTCCCTGCTGTCAGCGTTGGACTTCACACAAATGGACTTCCCACTGTCACTTAGAGGTCACTTCTGACTGGGTAGTGGCTTGCCAATTTATGGTATCTCAAGACTAGAACCTCCCTCTCCGGTCTTGGATCATGTCCATTTGGGCTTTGTCTTGTTTCTGAGAGGCTTCCTTTGTGCTGACTTTGCCTTGTTAGTCTATGGAATGAGCCGTTCAGGGTTTACCTTGTTTGTGCTTGACCTTTTGCACCCTGGCCCTGTTCTGTTGCCTCACAGTCACGTGCGGTATGGTAGCGTCTTGTTGATCTACGGCATGGCACGTTCAGGTTTCAGCTTGCCGGTCTTGGATTTTGTGACCGTGGGATTTGCAACCTTGTTGAGAGGCTTTGTACACCTTGAGTTGCCATTGCTGCTGTTTGGCTTGTCACGACTCGAGCTTTCAATGTTGATTCTGGACTGGATGCATTTTGACCCTGCCATTTTGTTGCGCGGATCCTTCCAACCGGAATCTTCGTTGTCAGTCTTCGGAGTCACCAAACCTGGTTTCTTTCCATCCCCCTTGGACTTTGCGAGCTCAGACCTCTCAATGCCGTTGCGAAGCTCCTGCCAATTGGGTTTCTTACTTTCCGTGTATGCAAACGTCAGGCCTGGCTTTTTGTTGCTTGTTCTCGACCATGTGACCCTGGGTTCTGCAGTATTTCTCCGATCCTATGTTTGTGTCGGGCCTTCCTCATTTCTCTATGGCCTCTCGCGGCCCGAATTCCCTTTGTTTGTGCTGGATTATGTGCAGACCGAGTTCACACCCTTTCTGAGAGGTATGGTGCGATCGGGTTTCTTGCTGTTGCCCTATGGCATCGGAAAACTGGGATTTTCGTCGTCAACTCTTGACCCTGTGAGTGTGGACTCTTTGGTGTTTTCAAAGACTTTCGTCCAACTTGAGCTGATGTCATTGGCCTTTGGAGTTGCTCGGCTGGGGTTGCTGTTGTCAGTCTTGGATTTTGTATCCTTGGGTAGTGCTTTGTCACTAAGAAGGCTCGCACACTTGGGTCTCACGGTCTTTGTTTATGGAACAGTTTGCCTTGGAAGCTCTTCTTCTTTGCTGGACCATGTGACTTTTGGAAGCCCGATGTTATTGCACGGATTGGGCTGAATGGGATTCTCTACTTCAGTCTTTGGATTGACCTGCTTGGAACTGACTCCCTCGGTCTTGGACTTTGTGCACATGGCATCTTCAGTGTCCTTGCGTGGGTTTTCACAACTGGGACCTGTGCCGCTTGTCTATGGCCTGGTTAGATCAGGCCTTTCTTTGTCAGCCTTGGACTTTTTGCACATGGCCTTCTTGCCGTCATCGCAAAGTCACTCCCGAGTTGGCTCCCCTTTGTTTGCGTATGGATGTTCACGTCTGGACTCAAGCTTGCCAGTCGTGGATTTTATTCATGTGGACTTGATGATTTTGCTGCAAAGCTCTGCTCAATCGGGATTTGCTATGTTCATCTATTCCATGGCACGTTTGGACTTTGCGCTTTCCGTGCTCGACTATGTGACTCTCGGCTCTGCGTTGCTGTTGCAAAGCTCTTCTTGTTTGGGCTCCAGTCTTCTGGTTTATGGCATGGCATGACCAGACCTGTCCCTCTCAGCGCTGGATTATTTGCACTTGGGTCCTGTGCTGTTGTCACGTAGCCTTTCATGGGTTGACTCCACTCCTCCAATTTACGGAATGGCGTGAATGGACCTGTCACTTCCTGCTCTTGATCTTGTCACCCTGGGTTCAGCAATGCCATTGCAAGGCCTAGCGTGTTGTGGCTCACCAATCTCAGCTTATGGCCTGGTATGTTCAGGCAGCGTGATGTTAGCTTTGAACTTCGCACATTTTGAAAGTGCCATGTCAACCCGCAGCTTTACGTGAATCGAATTTGCTCTCTTGATCTATGGCATGACTCGATCGGACCCAATCTTGTCAATTCCCGACCATTTGCACCTGGGATTCTCAACGCCTTTGCACAGTTTCGGATAGGCAGAATCGTTGCTGTCCGCCTATGGCCTAGCATGTTTGGGACTGTCTCTGCCCATCCTGGATCATGTGGTTTTAGGATCTTCTTCGCCTTTGCGATCTCATGCACGTTTTGATCATGTCCTCTTGGTCTTTGACAGCTGCCGCTTTGCGTCCTTTCTTCTGTTGCGGAGTTTCGCTTGATTTGAAAGTTCTCTATCGATCTATGGAGCAGCGCGATCAGATTTGCTGATGTTAACATTGGACTTTGTGATGATTGGATCTCCACTGCTGCTGCAATCTCTTGCTTAACTTGGTCCAGCAACGTCCACCTACGGCCTGGTCTGATTGGGATTTTCCTCATTGGTGCTTGACCATGTGGCGTTGGGACCTATGCTGCTGTTGCACGCACCCGCAAGGATCGGGAGTTTGATGCCACTCTACGGCAACTTGCGACTTGACTCAAGCTGCTCTGTCTTGGATTTCATCCACCCCGATTCCATGTCGTTGTTGCGAAGCTTTGCCCAACTTGGCCCTTCGACGTTGATGTTTGGCATTTGCAGACCGGGCTCATTTTTGTCTATACTTGATCATGTAAGCATTGATTCCTTCCCTTCCCTGAGAGGCATCACATGTACTGACTCCCCCATCTTTATGTACGGCCTGTCAAGACCAGGTAGCGTTTCGTCTGTCCTGGATTTTGTGCACATGGGCTCTTCAGTACTATTGCAAAGCTTTTCTCGCTCGGGTTTTATGACGTCTCTCTACGGCGTGGGGAATTTGGGATTCTTGTTTTCGGTCCTGGACTTTGTGACAACTGGGAGCTCATTCTCTTTGCAAGGATTCATGTATGCGGGCTTGATGCTGTCCCTTTATGGAATCACCAGACCAGACTCTTCCTTGTTGATTTTGGACTGTTTGCACTTTGAATCTGGATCGTTGCTGAGGGGCCACGTTTGAACCGACTCTGTCATGTCAGTCTATGGCTTGAGCTGTTTGGGTTTGTCGATTCCCTTGCTGGACTTTGTGCAGACCGACTCAAGCTCGTTGCTCCAAAGTTTTGCAAGGTTGGGTTTCACTGTACCTACGTATGGCATGACCTGACTGGGATCCCCTTCGCTTGTGCTGGATTTTGTTCGAACAGGCTCCTTGGTATCATTGCAAAGCATGGTGCATATGGGCTTCTTGCTTTCAGCCTATGGAATTGGACGTCTGGATTTGCCACTGTTGGCTCTTGATCTTGTGCGTCCTGAACCTTTCACGTCCACCCAAGGATTTGTACGAATCGATTCAGCTTTGCCAGTCTATGGCTTGAGCTGTATGGACAGCTCTTTGTTGGTGTTGGATTTAGTTCATCTTGGGCCTTCCCTGCTGCCCAGGTCACTTTGCCATTTGGACAGCTCGTTGTCTCCCTTTGGAATGACATGAATCGGATCATCTCCATCCATCCTTGACCTTGTGAACATTGGCTCTTCGATGTCACTCCAAAGTTTTGTGCGTCTCGACTCGTCGATTTCGGCCTATGGTTGCAGCAGTTCGGAGTTGTTGCTGTCAACTTTGGACTTTGTCGGTTTGGACAGTCCATTGCTTTTGAGATCTTCTGTTTGTCCTGAGTTCACCTTGTTTGTTTTTGGCCTGGCCAAGCTTGATTTCTTGTTGTCAGTGCTAGACCATGCAACTTTTGACTCATTGATTTTGCTTCACAGCTTTGTGTGTTTGGGCAGTCTTTTGTTGGTCTATGGCTGTTCAACCTCAGAACTGTCCTTGCTGCTGCTGGACCATGCAACTCTGGGCTTGATGTCGTTGTTGCAATCGCTCGCATGTTTGGATCTGTTTCTGTTGGCCTTCGGAATGTCCTGGCCTGGATCTTCGGCTTCTCTCCTGGACTCCATTAGCTCAGGTTCCACCCTGTCCTTGCACGGTCCTGCGAGAATCGGAAGCTGTACGTTGGTCTTCGGAATGACATGTTTGGACTTTTCACCTTCAACTCTTGACTCCATTCACTTGGGATTCAGCATGTCGTTGCAAACACCCTTGAGAACGGAATTTCCGTTGTTTGCCTACGGCCTAAGCTGATTGGAATCCAGTCTGTCTATTCTTGATCACTTGCATTTGGACTCTTCAACTTCACCCCAAACGTCCGTGTGTGTTGGCTTCCCCACATCACCATATGGGCTAATGGCTTTGGGACCATCCATGTCTGTGCTGGACTTCATCAATGTGGGCCTTCCACTGCCACTGCATAGCTTTTTGTAGCCGGGCCTGCCGATGTCTATCTCCGGTATGAGCTGCCCAGACCTCTCGTTGCTTATGCTGGATCCTGTGGATCTTGGTTCGACCTCATTGCTACGAAGTTCCGTTCACTTGGGCTTGCTGCTGCCCATCTATGGAGGTGTTCGCTCAGGCCTATTGATGCTGGTGCTCGATTTCTTGCACCTGGGTTCCCCTCCGCCATTGCAAGGCCCGTGCCGTATGGGGCTCTTTTTGCCAGCCTATGGCGTGACACGTTTGGGCTCCAGTCTGTCAGTCCCTGACCTTGTGCAGTTGGACTTACCTTTATCCTTGAGAAGCTGCTTGCGACTTGACTTTTCAGTATTTGTTTTCGGCATGACATGGCCTGGATTTTTGCTGCCAGCTTTTGATTTCGTCCATCCTGGTAGCTCGCTCTTGCCCACATGTTTTGCGAGACTGGGCGAGTCAATCTTGATTTATAGCATTGCATGCATGGACTTGGCCATATCAGTCTTAGATTTTGTGACAATGGACAGTATTTTGTTCCTTCGAAGCTTTTGCCGAATGGAATCCATAATGCCAGTCTACGGCCTATCCACCCTTGGATTTTTCATGCCTGTCCTGGACTTCATTTACTTGGGCAGCTTTTTGCCCATCAGGAGCTTTGCTTGATTTGGTTTCTCTCTCTTGGCATACGGTATGGTTTGCCTCGATCCCACGTTGCCCTTGTTGGATTTAGCCAACCTTGAGAGCCCCTTGCTGTTGCACTCCTCCGCATGCTTGGGTCTTGCGATGTTTATTTTCAAGTACTTCCGGTTTGACAGCAGTGTGTCCATCTTGGATGCTCTGAGTATGGGGTTAACTCTTTTGTTGCGAAGCTTCGCAAGACTGGACTCATTTTTTCCTGCCTTTGGCCTGAGCTGTTCAGGATTCCTTCCACCAATCCTTGATCTTGTTATGATGGGAAGCTTGGTGCCTCCGCGCAGTTTTGCTTGCCTTGGCTTGCTGTTGTCAGCCTATGGCATCACATGTTTAGACTTCAGCCTCTTTGTTTTAGATTTTGTTCATATGGAATCACCGCTGTCTTTGAAGACCCTCGCGTGAACGGGTTTGACAGCTTCCACCTATGGCATGTCACTCTGTGGTTTTTCGCTACCGGTGCTGGATTCTGTGAATCTGGGCTCCACTCTACCTCTTCGATCATCCCTACAAATTGACCTCTTGATGTTGGCTTGGGGAGTGGTTCGACCTGGTAGCTTCATGTTGGTGCTGGATTTTTTACATCCTGGATTCGTGTCGTTCTTGCAAGGCATGGCCAGGTCAGGGTTGGGCTTATTTGTCTACGGTGTGACGTGTCCCGAGTTCTTGCCATCCGTGTTGGACTTTGTGCACACGGACCTCTCCTCATCATTAAGGAGCTTTAGCTACTTGGGACTCATGGTGTTTCCCTATGGCATCATTTGACTTGAACTTTTGCTTTCTATCTTGGACTTCGGACACTGCGGCAGCTCACTGTCTCTCAGAGGCTTTGCGTACCTGGGCTCCACTCTGTTTCCCTATGGAATGACATGACCTGGAAGTTCATTTCCAGTCTTAGACTTTCTGCACTCAGGCAGTACCATGTCTTTGAGGGGCACCTTCAGAGCTGGCAGCTTCTTGTCGCTTTTTGGAGTGTCTTGCTTTGGTTCCTTACCATCAGTGATGGACCCCGTCCACATGGGCTCCTTTTTGTTGCTTCACGGCTCTAGCTGACCGGGCCTATCGATTTCGGCCTCCGGCATCTCTTGCCCTGACCTGTTGATGCCGGTGTTGGATTTTGTCCACATGGGTCCCTTGATGTCTTTGAGGAGTCATAGTTGTTTGGGCTCTTTGGCATCCACCTATGGCGTCAGCTGTACTGATGAGTCCTTGCCAGTGATGGACTTTGTTCACATGGAACCATTGCCATCCCTGAGAGGATCCAGTTACCTTGGAAGTTCTTTATCCGCCTATGGAATGGCATGTTTGGAGCCTTTGCTGTTTGTTCTGGACTTTCTGCATCTTGATTTCCTGCTGCTGCCCAGGACGTTTGGCTGTCTCGGTAGCACCTTGTCTCTCTATGGCTTGGCTTGACTGGACTTTCCATTCTCAGCACTGGATTTCATTCAGCTGGGAAGTGCTGTGTCATTGCAAAGCCTTTTGCGACTTGGCTTTTCCTTATTGGTCTATGGCTTGACATGCATTGACTTACTGCTTTCAGTTCTGGACCTGGTGTCAATCAGCTCGCCCTTGCCACTGAAGAGCTTTGCATGTCTAGAACTAACCTTATTTGTCTTTGGACTGACGCGACCCGAGTCTTCTGCCTTGACATTGGACCTCTTCAATGTGGGAAGCAGTGTCTTGTTGCGAGGTTTCATTTGTCCAGACCTTGCTCTTTCCGTGTTCGGCTTGGTTCGCTTGGGCTCTTTGCTGTCGATGTTAGACTTCATTCATCCGGGATTGATCTTGTTCTTGAGATCCCTCATCCGATCAGGTTTTATGGTTTTTGTCTATGGCATGAGTTGAACTGACTTCCCACCGCCTGTACTGGACTCTGTGACTCCTGGCAGCACGGCATCACTACATGGCTCTGTTTGTTTGGGACTGGCCCTGTTTGCCTATGGCATCACGTGCCTGGGACCCTCGTTGCTGGCCCTGGACCTTGTAAACCTCGGTTTCACGCCCTTGTTACAAGGTCTCACGTGCTCGGAAAGTATTTTGTCAGTCTGGAAGGAGTCGACCTTGGGACCCTTTCTGTTGGTGCAAGGTGGTGTGGTCATGGCCTCCTTGATGTCTATCCGAGGCCTTTCTCGATTGGGGTTCTCCTTGTTGGTCTATGGGGTCGTGAAACTTGGTCCACCCCTTCCAGTGTTGGACTTCGTGAGACTTGACTCTTTTCTGCTGCTCAGGAGCCATATGTAGCCTGGATTTCTTCTGTTAGCTTATGGAATTAATCGACCTGAACCTTTGCTATTGGTCTTGGACTATGTGCAGCCAGATTCAACCATATTCCCGAGAGGCTTCATGCACATTGGTTTCCCATGCTTGGCGTATGGCATCTCTCTCTTGGAATCCAGCCTTCCAGTTTTGGACTTTGTTCAGCTCGAACCCATGACTTCAACGAGAAGCCTTGTGCGCCTCGGGTTTCTGTTGTTTGTTTACGGCTTGATTTGCCCTGACTTCATGTTGCCAATCTCAGATTGCGCCACACTGGACCCGCTGTTGTCGTTGCAAAGCTCCGTGTGACTTGGACCTTTGTCGCTGATCTACAGCCTGATGCAGCTGGACTTACCCCTTTCAATCCTTGACCTTATCTCCATTGGCTCCTCTCTGTTTCTTCATAGCCTTTCATATCCAGGTTCCGTCCTTTTGTCGTATGGCATGACGGCGTCGGGCCCATTTCTGTTGGTCTTAGATTTTGTTCGCATTGAACTGTTGATGTTTCTGCGCAGCTCCGTGCGATCTGGCAGTTTGACGTTGGCCTATGGAATTTCTCGGCTGGGTTTCTTTCTTTCGACCCTGGATTCGGCAACATTGGACAGTGCTTTGTCTTTGCAAAGCCTTGTTCGCATGGGTTTCCCGTTGTCTGTTTATGGCCTTTGCCGTTTGGGCTTCCTGTTGTTGCCCTTGGACTTAGCGAGTCTGGAGTTCTGCCTGCCGTTGCACAGCTCCGCCCGACTCGGTCTGACTTTGTCGGCCTATGGCCTTACCAGACTCGGCTCGATTTTGTCGCTGCTGGACTGCTCCCACTTGGATTTGTCGATGTTTTTGAGGAGCCATTTGTGGCTTGAGCCATTGCTACCGGTCTATGGAGTGATGTGCCTGGAGAGTTTGCTGTTGACCTTGGACCTTATTCACTTGGGGCCAAGTCTGTTGCTTCATACTCCTGCCAGACTGGGTTTCTTGCTTTTAACCTCAGGAATGATTCGATTGGGCCCTCCTTTGCTGCTGTTGGATTTCATGCACTCAGATTTCTCGGTATTACCCAGAAGCTGGATCCGCGTCGACTTTCTTCTGTTGCTCTATGGAATGAACTGCTTAGGCTCTAGTTTACCCATCTGCGACTTTGTAATGATGGAACCCGCGTTGTTGCTCCAAAGCCACTTTCGCCCGGGGCTTGCGTTGTCGGTCTATGGCATGACAAAACTTGAACCTTCACCACTTGCCTTGGATTCTGTCCGCCTGGGGTTCTCCATGCTGTTGCACAGTCATGTCTATCCAGGCAACCAGCTGTTGCTATATGGACTTGCACATCCAGGGGACCGACTCTCAGCCCTAGACTTTGTGAGTTTTGCGCTATCCCTGTTGGCTCAAGGCTTCTGCAGGTTGGGCCACATTTTGCCGGTCTATGGAATGACACGGCCAGAGCCCATGTTGTTGGTGCTTGACATCATTAATACTGACCCGTTTCTGCCGTTGCGAAGCTTTGCTTACTCTGACAGCATTTTACCACTTTATGGAATGTCGAGTCTGGAATCATCTTTGCCAGTGATGGATTCTGTGAACACGGGCTCGATGCTTTTGCCGCGGGCTTTTCTCAAGCCAGGGAGTTTGTTGCTGGTGTATGGAGTGTCCAAGCTGGGTTTTCCTCTTTTTGCACTGGATCATGTATCTTTAGAGCCATTGCCTTCGGTCAGAACGCCCATCTGTTTTGAACTTTCACTCTCTGTCTATGGCCTTACCCAACTTGATCCGTCCTTGTCCGTCTTGGACTTTGTCCACATCGACTTTCCTCTGTTGCTGCGAAGTCTTGCGTGTCTTGATTTGTTCCTTCTGATTTTTGGCATTAGTTGCCTTGAACCTTCACCACCCACACTAGACTATGTAAACCTGGGGTCGCCTCCGCTGTTGCAAAGTATGGTTCGCTTGGGCCCTATTCTGCCAGCTTATGGACTGGCACGCCCAGACTTCAGCTTGTTGGTTTTGGACTTTATTCATTTGGACTTGGTTATGTCTTTGCAAGCCCTTATTCGCATGGGACTTTTCTTGTTGGCTTATGGAATAGCTTGCATGGGACTTCCACCCTTGATTTTGGACTTTGCGGTTCTGGAATCTGTTACGTTTATTCAAGGTTTGTGTTGATCAGGAAGCTCCTTGTCCGTCTATGGAATTAGCAGACCAGGCTCCTTACCTTTAGTGCCCGACCTTGTCTCTCCAGGTCTGACTTCGTTGGCACGTAGCTCTATTCACATGGGCAGTCTGATTTTGGCCTTTGGGATATCCTGTTCGGGTCTGTTTATGTCAATCCCAGACTTTGTCCATCTTGGACTCCTGCTGTCCCTGCATAGCTCTGCGTGTTTGGAATTACCGCTACTACTATGTGGAATGATGCGACTTGATTTCTCGCTGTCAACGCTGGACTTCGGTCATTTTGATTCCACTATCCTTCTGCGCAGCTTCGTGTGTCTGGACTTTGCTCTCCCAGTCTACGGCTTTTCAGCTCCAGAGCTTTCCTTGTTGGTTTTGGATTTTTGCAGCCCTGATTTCTTCGTGCCCATAAGGAGCCTCACATGCCCTGACTTGTCGTTGCTTGCTTGGGGATTGAGTTGCTTGGGGCTTCTGTTGTTGGCCATGGACTTTGTGAACATTGACTCATTGCCTTCCCTGCGATCCTTCCTGTGGTTGGGTCTCTCACCATTTCCATATGGAGTCATGTGCCTGGAGCTGCTACTGTTGCTGCTGGACCCTGTGAACTTTGACCCAGGTCTGCCGCTTCGAAGTTCCTGCCGTTCAGACTTGCTGACATCAGCCTATGGAGTTGCGCGCTTGGGGCTGATGTTGTCGGCCCCAGACTCCATCCATTTGGGCAGCCTGTTGTCACCGCAGGCTCTCGCACAATCGGAACTGATTCCATTGCTGTTTGGCTTAAGCTGCCTGGACTTTCTGTTGCTAATCACTGACTTCGTACACATTGAATTGTCCCTTTTGCTGCAAAGCCTTGCTTGTTTAGGTTTACCGATTTTGACCTATGGCATGTCTTGCCTGGGACCTTCATTGTCCTCGCTTGATCTTGTACATCTGGGTTTGCTGGTACCCCTGCAATCACCAGCACGGTCTGAAAGCATCTCGTTGGTCTATGGCATTGCGTGTTTGGGCTTTTCTTCACCAATCCTGGACCCTGTCAACACTGACTTGCCACTTTCACCACGAAGTTCTGCCTGAATAGGATTCTTTTCATTTGCATTTGGAATGATGCGATTGGACTCCCTACCTCCTGTGTTGGATTTTGTCCAAACTGGCTTCTTCATGTCTCTGCACGCTTCTTTCTGCGTGGGATCACTGCTTCTCGCCTATGGCATCTCTTGTCCTGATTTCTTGCTTTCGGTTCTTGACATGGTGAATGTAGACTCCACATCGCTGTTACATGCCTTCTTGCAATTGGGTTTGATGCTGTTCGCCTATGGTGTGACTTGCTTGGGACCTTTGCTGTCTGCCTCGGACTCCCTGAGCCCGGGCTTTACATTGAGCTTGAGGCGTTTCATGAGACTGGACTCCTTGTTGCCCGTCTATGGAATCACTTGGCCGGGCTTGTTGCTGCTGGTCTTGGACTTTGCACACTTGGGATTTCCGCTGCTTCTTCGGTCTTCAGTCCAGGTGGGCTTTTCATCGTCGGCCTATGGACTGTCACGAACTGACTCCCTGCTGTTGGCCCTTGACTTTGTTCAGCTGGACTTCACATCACCCTTGCGGGGCCTCTTCTGCTTAGGATTGAGCTTGTTGGTGTCAGGGATGAGCAGACTAGACTTCAACCTGTTAGTTCTGGATCCTGTTAACACCGGCCCAGCACCATCTCCCCAAAGCTTTGCGTGAGTTGAATCGGTCACGTCAGTGTATGGCCTGTGTTGCCTTGAGCCATCCATGCCAGCCCTGGACCTTGCACAATTGGGGAGTGCTTTGCCCATTCGAAGCTTCGTTCGTCTTGACTTCACCTTGTTGGCCTATGGCTTGACCCGAACGGACTTGAGTCTTTTCCCCTTGGACATGGTACATCCTGGGTCTTCTTCGTCACTACAGGCCTTCCTATGTTTGGAAAGCTCACTCTCGGTGTATGGCATTTGTTGCCCAGGCTTCTTCCCTTCAACCTTGGATTTCTCGCACGTCGAACTTTTTTTGTCTTTACAATCACTTGCTCGTCCTGACTCTTCGCTCTCTACATATGGCATCACATGTTTGGACCCATTTCCGCCCGCTTTGGACTACATCCATTCCGACCTCTTGATGCCATTGCGATCGTACATCCACTTCGGAAGCTCGTGCTCGGTCTTCGGCCTGACATGCCTTGGGTCTTCGCTCTCAATTCTTGACCATCTGGATTCTGATTTCTCGCTTTCGCCCAGGTCTTTTGCAAGGCTTGGCTCTCCCCTTTCTGCATACGGACTCTGTTGCATAGGCCTGCCACCGTTGTCACTGGACTTCCTTCATCTTGATCTTCTGACGTCTTTGAGGAGTCCTACTTGCCTTGAGTCTCCATTGTTTGCCTCTGGGCTGTCAAGATTGGGTTTCTCTGTCCTGGCTTTGGATTTTGTGCACATTGGCTTCTCCTCACTGCTACAAAGCTTCTTCAGGCTGGGCTCAAGTCTCCTAGCGTATGGTATAAACAGGTTGGATTCATCCTTGCTGGTGTCGGATCTTGTTCACCTTGAGCTAGTCCTGTTATTGCACAGCTTCATGTGCCTCGAGAGCCTGTCGTCCGTCTATGGCATTGTTCGACTGGACCTTCCACTCTTGCCGATTGACTTGGTGCATCCTGAGCTGTCTCTGTCATTGCGAGGCTCCATGCGTTCGGGAAGTGCCTCGTCGGCCTATGGCATGGTTTGGCTTGGCCCTTTCCTGTTGCTAATTGACTGCTGTCATTCGGGATCTTCTTTGTTGTTGCGAACCCTTGCGCAACTGGGATTCAGCCCGTTGGTCTATGGAATGACCTGCTTGGGTTCACCACTGTCCCTTTTGGATATTGTCCATCTGGACTCGCCGCCCCTGCTGCATAGCCTCTGTTGACCCGGCAGTTTGCTGTTGGTCTATGGGCTTACACAACTGGAATTGTTGCTGTTTGTCCTGGATTCTGTTCACATTGGTTCATCGTTGCTACTTCGCAGCCCTACACAAATTGACTCTGTGTTGTTGATCTTTGGAATGTCACGGCCAGGCTTCTTCTCGTCGATTCTTGATCCTGTGCATCCTGGCTTGTTCCTGCCTCTCAGAACCATTGCGTGATTCGGTTCCTCGCCCTCAGTGTATGGAATGACTTGTCTCGAATTTTCCATGCCCATTTTGGATCTTGTACACCTCGGGCCATTGCCTTCCTTGCAGGCATCTTTGCAATTGGGCTTCTCACTCTCGGTCCTTGGTTGCAGTAGACCTGGCAGTTTGTTGCTTGCTTTGGACTCTGTGCATATTGACTTTTTCATTTTGCCCCAAACCTTCTTGCAAATTGATCTGTTTCTGCTGGTCTTTGGTATGACCAGGTTGGACTTCCTCTTGTTGGCATTGGATTATGTGCACATGAGTTCTCTTCTGTTGCCTCATGCATTTGTACGGCTGGAGTTCTCTTCGTTGGTCTATGGCTTGGCTTGATCAGGGCCTATGCTTTTTGTTCTGGACATCATGCATCTCGGGCCATGTCTGCCACTGCAAGGGTTGATTCAAGCAGGCAGCCCTTTATTTGTGTATGGAATCAGTTGGCTGGGATCTTTATCGTTGGTCTTGGACTTTGTTCATACAGAGTTGGTGCTTTTCTTGAGAAGCCTTGCGCGTTTGGGCCTTTTGCCTTTTCTGTACGGCGTGGTCCGTTTGGGCAGCTTGTTGTTGATGGTTGATTTCATTACCCCGGGCTCAAGTATGTCGCTCCGCAGTCTTCTGCGACTAGGTTTCTTTCTTTCTGTCTATGGCATTTCATGCTTGGGCTTTCCATTGTCGGCACCAGACCTAGTTCAGATTGGCTTGCTGTTGTCGCTTCAAACTTCTGCTCGACCAGGACTGACCCTGTCGCTCTCCGGGATGTGCCGCCCTGGTTCCTCCTCGCTGATCTTGGACTTTGTAAATATTGGTAGCTCGTGTTCTCTGAGAAGCTTCCTTCATCTTGACTCCCTTCTGTCGGTTTATGGCATGGTGAGGCTTGATTCCTTTCTGCTGGCAATAGATCCTGCACACCCTGGACCGCTCCTGCCGTTGCAAGGATCCATTTGCTTAGGTTTCTTGCTGTTGGTCTATGGCATGTCAAGGCCAGAGTTGTTGACTTCTACCATCGATTTCATCCACTTTGGTCCTGCTCCGCTTCCGCACGGATTCGCCCGAATTGACAGCAGTCCTTCAGCCTTTGGCCTTTGCTGCTTGGGTTCCTCTCTGTTGTCACTGGATTCCTCACAGTTTGGACCTTCGCTTCCTCCGCACAGTTCTACTCGCCTTGGCTTTTTGCCTTCAATATACGGAACAGTCCGTCTTGGCTCTAGCCCCTCACTCTTGGATTTCCTTCATGTTGGGCCTGTATTGCTTCTCCAAAGTCTTGTTCAACTTGGATTGATCGTTTCTGTATATGGTATGACGCGGGCAGACTCACCCTTGCTTGCTCTTGACCTTATTCATCCTGGGCTTTTGCCACTGCTTCAAACTTTTGCTCACTTGGACAGTATTTCGTTCGCCTTTGGCATGACATGCATCGGTCCTTTCATGCTTGCCTTAAACTTCATTTGCTTTGACCCGAGCACGTCAATTCGAAGCTTCATGCGACTCGGGTCCAGTTTGTTTGCCTATGGAGTGACTAGAACTGACTTCACCCTGCTGGTGCTTGATTGTGGCCACTTTGGACCCACTTCGCTGCTTCAAAACCCGTGCTACGCAGGTAGCCCCCTCTTGCTTGTAGGACAGGTTCGAACTGGCTCAGTGTTGTTGATTCTCGATTTTTCCCACCTGGAACTGATGATGTTGCTTCAATCCTTCTTGCGACCTGACCCGAGTCTGTTGCCTTATGGAGTAAGCTGCCTTGATTCTTCCCCGTTGGTCCTGGACTTTGTGCATCCGGAGCTGTTCCTATTGCCGCAAGGATTTGGACAAATGGGCCCGTCACTTCCGCTCTATGGCATGATGTGCCTGGGAAGCTTTTTGCTGGTCCTGGACCTTGTGCACTCAGAACCAATGATTTTGCTGCGGAATCGTGGAAGAGTAGGAAGTGTGTTGCCTTTGTGTGGAAAGGGTTGCTTTGAAACTCTGCTGTTGGTCTTTGATCTTCTGCACACTGGATCTATGCTATCTCTGAGAAGCCATGTGTGCTTTGACAGCGTGCTTTTGGTCTTTGGCTTGACCTGTCCAGACTTCTTGTTGCTGGTACTGGACTCTGCGGTCATGGGATTCACTTTGTTTTTGAGGTCGTACATTTGATGTGGATCGTCAATCTTCTTGATCGGCCAAATTCGATATGGAGGAAGATTCAGTATCCTTCAATTCGCGACCTTCGGCTCTCCGCTCTTTCTGCACAGCCTCATGCAAGTGGGTTTCAGCTCGTTAGCCTATGGCATGGTGTGGCCTGACCTGTTGCTGTTGCTGTTGGATTTCGTCAACATGGACCCTTCACCCTTTTTGAAGACATCTGCATGCCTAGACTCACTGATGTTTGCCTATGGCATGACCCAACCAGGTTTCATGCCTCCTGTGTTGGATTTCATCCATCTTGACTCAACCTCATCATCGAGGTCTCATTCTCAAATGGACAGCGTGTTGCCGCCCTATGGCCTGTTTAAACCTGATTTCTCACTTTTGGTCTTGGACTATGCACACATTGGACCTTCGATTTCATCGCAAACCTTTCTGTGTACAGAGCTTTTTCTGTTGGTCTATGGACTGACCTGCATTGACTCAAGTCCCTCGTTGCTTGATTGTCTCCACATCGGTTCCTTCCTGTCCTTACAAGGCTCCGCGCAACTGGAAAGCGCTTTGTTGGTCTATGGCCTGAACTGGTTAGGCAGCTCCCTATCCCTCTTGGACTTTGCCCATCTGGACCTGGCTTTGTTGTTGAGAAGCTACTGCCACCCGGGCTCTGCGTTGTTGATTTATGGGGTGATGCATCTTGATTTCTTGCTGCCAGTCTTGGATTTTATCAACTCAGGCTTTACACTTCTTCCGCAAAGTTTCCTGAGAATGGGATTGTCCCTTTCCATTTATGGCGTGAGTTGCCTTGGCTTCTCGTGTTCAGCCTTGGATTTCTTGCATCTGGACTTTGCTCTTTTTTCACGATCCCTTTGTCGCCTGGGTTTGATGCTCTTTTCGTACGGTGTCTCTCGCTTGGAGCCTGCTCCATCTATGCTGGATCACGCAACCTTGGGATCGGCGATGCCAGTGCAATCGCTTGTCCACCTTGAAAGCATGGTTTCAGTCTACGGTATTTGTAGCCTTGGCAGTTCTCTGTCGGCCCTGGACCTTGTCCACTTGGGTTTTCTGCTGTTTTTGCGTAGCTTTTTCCAACCTGAAAGTCTGATGTTGGTTTTCGGCATTGGAAAACCAGAGTCACTATTGCTTGTCTTGGACTACGTCATGACGGGATTCCCAATGTCATTGAGGTCCCTTGCATGCTCGGGCTTCATCTTGTCCGTCTTCGGAATCACCTGGCCAGATTTTCTGTTGCCGTTGTCGGACCTTTGTCAATTTGACTTCTCATCACCTACGCGGAGCTTTGTTCGGGCAGGTCTTGTGACATTTGCTTACGGCATGACCTGCTCAGAATTCACTTTTCCCTCGTTAGATTTCATTCATCTGGGACCCCTGCCTTCCTTGCAAGGTCTGGTGTGTATGGGTTCCTTCCCGTTGGTCTCTGGCCTATCTTGGCTGGGTCCCATCTTGCCGCTTCTGGACCCTGCAAATCTGGACTTGACACCTTTACTGCGAGGCTTCTTGTGCTTGGAGCTCATACTGCCTCTCTTTGGATTGACATGTTTGGGATCCTTTTCATCAGTTTCGGACTTTGTTGGACTTGGCTCCTCCTGCCCTCTGAGATCATTTTTGCACATGGGTAGCCCCTCATCTATCTACGGCACATCATGCTTGGAGTTGCTGCTGTTGGTCTTGGACCTCGTTGGGCCAGGGTCGTTACTGCTGCCACAAACGTTTGCGCGTTTGGACTTTGTCCTGTTGGCCTTTGGGATTATGTGTATGGACTCATTGCCATCAACATCAGACCTGATGCAGCTGGGAAGCTTCTTGTCCCTTCGTTCATTCCTGCGTTTGGGTCTCTTGCTGTTGGTCTACGGCATCACGACCATGGAAAGTATTCTGTTCACTTTGGACTTTTTAAATGTGGAATTTGCGCCATCTTCGCACAGCCTCATTCGCTTGGGTAGCCTGCTGCTGCTCTACGGTGTGGCTTGACTTGGCTTGTTTCCGTTTGCATCAGATTACATCCACCCAGGATTTGCACCCTTCCTGAAGAACTTTGGTTGTTTCGACAGCAGCCTTCCAATCATCTCAACGGTTCGTTTGGGCAGTTGTTCGTCAGTGATAGATTGCCTGCACTTTGATCTTACCCTGTCACTTCACAGCTTCGTTCACCTGGGATTTTTGCTGTTCCTCTTTGGCATGAGTCGCCTGGGTTTTTCGACCTCAGCTTTGGACTTTGCAATGGTGGGTTCAGCTCTATCCCTTAGATCATACATGCGACTTGACCTTTCTCTCTTGGTCTATGGAATCCAACGGTTGGACCCAAGTCTCTCAGTGCTGGACCATGTGCAATTGGACTTGCCAATGCCCTTGCACTCCCCCATTCGTTTGGGAAGCATCTTGTCGGTCTACGGCTTGACACGAATCGGCTTGTCGTTGTTGACCTCAGACTTCATTCACCTGGACTCACTGTTGTTCCTGCAGTCTCTTACACATCCAGGAAGCAGCCTGCCGCCCTACGGTGTGACTTGCTTGGGATTCCCCCTGTCTCTCCTGGACTCTGCAAACTTTGGATTTTGCTTGTTGCCTCAAGGTTTTGCATGTTCAGGTTTGCTGCTGTCAGCTATGGGGATCACCCGCTTGGGATTCTTGCTGTTCTCGTTAGATTGCATCCATCCTGAGAGTTTCTTGTTCTTGCGAGCCTTCACATGACCTGGTTCATTTCCACCTGTTTATGGTATGAGTACTCTCGGCCCATCCCTCCTTATTTTGGACCTCGTAAATATAGGGCTATTGTTGCCTTTGAGGACACTCCTGCGCACCGGTTCAGCCCCATCGGTCTATGGTGTTTGTCGCCCGGAGTTCATGTCGTTGCTGCCCGACTGCACCCACCCCGGATCTGCCACCTCACCCAGAAGCCTTGCCCGGCCTGGGCCGCCCTTGTTGGTTTATGGCATGTCCACTTTGGAGCTGCTGCTGTTGCTGCTGGATTCTGCCAACTTGGGACTGTTGACGTTGCCAAGGAGCTTTGTTTGATTGGACTTCTTGTTGTTGCCCTTTGGGTTGACCAGATCAGAGTTGACACCTTTGCCACTGGATGTAGTTCAGCTGGGTCTTGTGCCATCTTTGCGTGGATTCGCATGGTCAGACTCTGCACTCTCGGTATATGGCATGGTGTGGCCTGGTTTTTTTCCGTTGCCGATTGACTGTATGCACCTTAGCCCGCCGCTCTTACTACGAAGCTTCGCTCAGCTGGGATTCTTTTTGCTGGTCTATGGGCTGTGCAGACTCGAGTTATCCTCACCTCTGCTAGATTTTGCGGGCTCAGAACCTATTCTGCCATTGAGAAGCTTTACTCAACTGGAAAGTATCTTATTGGTTTATGGCCTGGTTTGACCTGACCCATCTCTGTTGCTGTTGGACTCATGCCACTTGGGCTTTGGGTTGTTTCCCCGCAGCCTTACCTGACCCGAGTTGTCCATGTTGGTTTTTGGCTTATCGCGGTCAGAGCCTCCTTTGTCTGTTCTGGATCCTGTGAATCTGGGATTCTCCATGTCACTGCACAGTTCCATCTATGCTGGCTCCCTCCTGCCAGTCTATGGTTTGTCGCACCTGGGCTTTTCAACACCAGCGTTAGACCTTGTGAACTCGGGCCTGCCTCCGTTGCTAAGAACATACGTTTGTCTCGAATTATTGCTGCCATTGTTTGGAATGTGTTGCCTTGGACCCTTGATGCTTTCGCCAGACTCCATGCATGTTGACCTGCCACTCTCGTTGCAAAGCTCCGTACAGCTTGGTCTGTCACTCTTGGTCTTTGGACTCACGCGGCTGGGTCTGACATTGTTGTCACTGGACCTTGCTAGCTTGGGTCCTGGGCTTTTTCTTCAAACACTTGCCTGCTTGGGTCTCACACCACTTGTCTACGGCATAACCTGACTTGATCTATTTCTGTCATTGCTGGACATGTGTTCAACAGGCTTTTTCCTGCTGTTACGGACTTCTATGCACATCGAACTGCCTCTTTCTGCATTCGGCATGTATTGCTCAGGCTCCTCAATGCTGATCCTGGACTCTGTACACATTGACTCGTCATTGCTGGCCCAAGCCCTTTCTTGCCCAGAACCCATCTTGCTTGCCTATGGCATGTGCAGGTCAGGTTCACCATTGTTTACTTCGGATTTTTTACATGTGAGCAGTAGTGTTCCATTGCGCAGTTACATTCATTTAGACTTCTTTCTGTTTGCTTACGGCATTGGATGCTTGGGATCTTCTCTGTTGGTGCTGGACCTTGTCAACCTCGACCCCAACTTGCCCCCAAGAGGTTTCTGCCAAATGGGCCCGTCACCCTCAGTCTATGGAATGATGCATCTGGACCCATCGCCATCAGCGCTGGACTTTGTGAGTTTGGAATCCGTCTCGTTTCCTCATAGCTTCATGTGGTTGGGCAGCACTTTATCAGTCTTTGGCCTGGCATGACCAGACTTCACAGCCTCCACCTTGGATTTTGTCCAGATCGGCCCAGTGTTGTTGCTGCAAACCTCCCATCGTGTCGGCCTGGTGTCGTTGGTCTATGGGGTGTCATGCTTGGGGCCAAATCTGTTGATTCTGGACTCCGTGAGCATGGGATCAGGATTGTTTCTGCGGGGCTCCTGTCAACTTGAGTTCTCGCTATCAGCCTATGGTATCAGCTGTTTGGGTTCCTCGTTGCCAGCCTTGGACTATGTTTGTTTGGGCTTAACTATATTGCCACAATCAATGGCTTGGTTGGGCAGTCCTTTGTCAACCTGGGGATTGACTCGCTTAGAACTATTGATTTTTGCTTTGGACCTTGGAAATTTTGAATCCTTGGTGCTGGCACAAAATTTCTTCCGCACTGATCTTTCACCTTTGGTCTATGGCATCTGTTGCTTGGGCCTCTCACCGTTGTTGTTGGATCCCATTCAGCCTGGCCTGTTGATGTTGTCGCAGCACCTTATTTGGCTTGGTAGCGCTCCATCAGCCTTTGGCATGTCGCGCCCTGAACTGCCGCCACCGGCGTTGGATTTGGTGCACATCGAGCCGTCCTTGTTGTTGCGGGGCTCCTTCCAAATGGACAGTGCACTGCTGGTCTTTGGCTTGGCCTGGCTGGAAAGCTCCCCTTCAGCACCTGATTTTGTGCATGTGGACAGCTCGTTGCTCTTGAAATCTTTCTCAAAGCTGGGATTCAGCACCTCAATCTATGGAATTTCAAAGCTGGCATCTCTGCTTTCAGCCTTGGATCTTGTGGTTCCGGGGTCGACACCTCTGCTCCAAAGTTCATTCTGCCCAGACCTTTCCCTTCCAGCATTCGGCATGAGTTGCCCGGACTTCTTCCTGTTGGCCTTAGACTATGTTCAGTTTGAGTTTCCCTTGCCTCTGCGAAGTTTCCTCTGCCCGGGTCTGATACCTTCAGTCTTTGGAATGTCTTGCCCCGAAAGTTTCTTGTTCATCCTTGATTTCGTACAAATGGGCTTCTTGTTGTTGCTTCGGGCATTCTTCCAACTAGGCCTGGTGCCGTTGGTCTGTGGTGTCACTTGGTTGGGCTCTTCACTGCTGATCTTGGACCTCATGCACTTCGATTCCAGCATGTCGACCCAAAGTCTCGCTCGCATTGGCTTGATTTTGTTTATGTATGGCCTGACGTGGTTAGGAAGCCTGTTGTTAATTCTGGATGTCATGAACCTTGGTTTTCCACCTTCCCTGCAAGGCCTTCTCCAAATGGGATTTCCCATGCCCGCTTTCGGCATGTCGTGCTTAGGCCTCTCCATGTCGGTTCTGGATCCTGCAACCATTGCATCCTCCATGTTTCTTAGAGGCCTCTTCAGACTCGATCTCTTGTTGTTGGCATTTGGAATCTCTTGGCTCGACTCTTTGACGTTTGCCTTGGATTTTGTGAATCTTGAACTCCTACTGCTGCTTCAAACGTTTATTCAACTTGGCTTGAGCCCTTTGACATATGGAGTGGCATGACTGGACTTCTTTCTGTTGGTCTTGGACTTTTCCCACTTCGGTCCCGCACCGTTTTTGAGGAGCTTCGTGCAAATGGGTCTTTCACTGCCAGCATTTGGTTTGACAAGACCCGACCCTTTGGTTTTGATCCTGGATCCCATTAATCCTGACAGTATTCTGCCACTGCAAAGCCCCAGCTGACCAGAACCCTTCCTGTTACTCTTTGGGTTGACATGACCTGGTAGTTCCTTGTCGATGCTGGACATGATGCACCCTGGTTTCATGATTTTATTGAGATCCCTCATCTGCCTTGAATTCCTCTTGTTAGTCTATGGCCTGGCGATGTCAGACTTATCACTCTCTGCGTTGGATCTTGTTGCTGTGGACTCATTGCTGCTCATGAGGAGCAATGTGTAGCCAGGTCCTGTCCTGTTGGTGTTCCAAAATGTACAATCTGAATCGATCTTGTTTACTCTAGACCTTTCCAAGCTCGGCTTTGTGATGCTCATAAGAAGTGCGGCTCACTTGGAATCAGCCTTCTTGCCATTTGGCATGGCATGACTCAGGTCAACCATCTTTGCTTTGGACGGTGCACATTTTGAATCCGCGGTCCCTGTCAGATCCCTCTGCAGAACAGGCTTTTTGCCACTTGTTCTGGACCTCACAATGCTTGGATTTTTTTCGTTGCTGCGAGATTTCACATGCATGGGATTCACGTTCTTCGTGTTTGGGCTCAGCCGGTCAGACTTTACTCTACCCGTCTTTGATAGTTCGTACCTTGAATTGTCAATGTTGCTTCAAAGTATCCAAACTCTTGATTCAATCTCTTCGATCTTCAGCGAAGCTTGCTTTGGTTCCTTGCTATTGATGCTGGATATGGGAAATCTGGGATTCTCACTGCTGCCTCGAAGCCCTGCACAACCTGAATTTTGTTTCTCGCTTTTCAGCTGTGCCAACTTTGACTTGTTGCCTCCAATCCTTGACTGTACACGTCTTGACTCCAGCTCGTCACTACACAGCCACTTACGGCTAGAATTATCCATGTTTGCCTTCGGCACTCTGAGAGTTGGCTTTCTTTTGTTTCTACTTGATTGTTCTCTCACTGATTCGTTTCTGCCTTTGCAAAATCCTGCTCGTGCGGACTTCACATTGCTGCCAGTTGGACTCGCTTGGTTGGGACTCCCAGTGTTGGCCCTGGATACTGCAACAATTGATCTCTCAATGCCACTGCAACAGTTCTCACACCCGGGTTTACCGGTCTTGGCGGCTGGCGTGTTCTGATTGGGATTCTCCTTGTTGGTCTCGGACAGTGTCCACCTGGGATTTCTATTGCTGGTCCACAGTTTTACGCGATCAGATTCTGCTTCGCTTGTCTTGGATCTTCTGCGCTCAGGTTTTCCATCCCCCGTCCGCAGCTTTGCACACTCTGACTCCTCCCTCTCATGCTTCAGCCAAGCACGCTACGATTCGTCAATGTTGGCCTTGGACTTTCTTCACTTGGGCTCTTCAGTCTCCCTCCATAGTCTCGCACAACTTGAATCGAATCTGTTGGCCTTTGCGAGAACAAAGCTTGGCTTCCCATTGTTGGTCCTGGATTCTTTGCATTTGGACCCTGCCCTCCCAATAAGGAGCTTTGCATGCATGGACTCCGCAATGTTCACCCTGGATTTCTTGCACCTGGGCAGTTCCTTCCTAACCAGGAGCCTCGCTAGGCCTGAATTGCCCATGCTGGTGTGGTCATGCACGCGATTGGGTTTGTCATCGTTTACGTTGGATTTGTCAGATTCTGGCCCGTTCATTTTGATCAGGAGCATGTATCGTTCAGACTTCAACTTGCCGATCTTTTCTTCTATGCGAATGGGTCCACTGCTTTTTACCCTGGACTCTGGACACATTGGCTTTTCCCTTTTGCTGCAGTCTTTTGCTTGATTGGGCCTAGCAATGCTAGCTTGCGGAATCTCCTGTTTTGATCCTTTGTTGCCGGCATTGGACTATACGCTGCTGGGCTTTCTGCTTCCTGTTCGAGCCTTTGCGCACTCAGACAGTTCGCCGCCAGTTTTGGACCTTTTGCACTTAGGACCGTCGTCCTCGATGCACAGCTTTGGTTGCTCAGGGTTTGTGCTGCCGTTGTTCAGCATGACTTGCTTTGAATCTTTGGTTCTAGCGTTGGATCGTGTACATTCTGGATTGTCACCTCTATTGCGTTCCATCGGGCAACCAGAACCTGCAGTTTCGTTGTTTGGAATTAGCTGCATGGGCTCATCCCCACTGGTCCTTGATTGCACGCTCTTGGAGTCATCCTTGTTCTCGAGGTGCAGCGGCCAACCTGGTTCCAACTTGTTACTGTTCTCTGTCTCAAGAATGGGTTTCTCCTTGCCTGTGCTGGACTTCACGCATTCAGATCTCCTCTCGTTTCTACAATCATTGGCACGCATGGGGTCACTGGTTTCTGCTTTCAGTCTGTGTTGCTCTGGCTTCACGATGCCGGTGTCTGACGCAACGCATTTGGAATTGCTGCTGTTGACTCAAAGCATGGCCCGACTTGACTCGGCTTTGCCGGTCTTGGACCCTAGTCATTCGGACTTCATTTTGTTTCTCAGGAGCCTTGCCAGGTTGGGACTGACCTTTCTGACCTTTGGAATGTCTTGAGCAGGACTTTTGATGCTACTCTTGGACGCGATCAATGTTGGCTCCACCGCACCTTTCAGGTCATCCAAATTCTTTGAACCCGTGGTGCCTGTCTTTGGGTTGTTGTGATCTGGGCTATTTCTGTCCATTTCCGATTTGACACAGATGGAATTACCAATGCTGACACAAAGTACAGCAAGACTTGAATTTGTTATGCTTACCTTTTCGTTTGCCCGCCTTGGGTTCTTGGCTTTTGTGTTTGACTGCGCGCGTTTGGGCTCCCCTTTGCCATTGCGAAGCCCTGCGAGATTTGACTTGTCACTTTTTCTCTTTGGCAGATTGAGATTCGGTGACAGGCTGTCAATCTACGACGTGGTCCGGACTGGCAGTTGTTTGTCTGTCCGGAGCTACAGCAAATCAGGCTCCTTCCTATTGGTTTTGGGAGCGACACGCCCCAGCCTTTTGCTGCCTGCGTTGGACTTTGCCCACATGGATTTGTTGCTGTCACTCCAAGGCTTTGCAAGATTAGACTCCGCCCCATTGATCATGGACTTTTTGCAACTAGGGTTTGCCCTTTCTTTGCAAAGCTGTGCGTGCGCTGAACCATCCTTTTTTTTCTTCAGCTCTAAGCGACCGGGTTTGAGTTTGCCAGTCTTGGACCTTGTGCAAATAGGCTTCTCCCCTCCTGTGCGCGGTGCCTTGCGCCTTGGCAGTGCCTTGCTAGTCCTGGATCCTGTACACTCAAGTTCAGTTATGTTGGCTCGAGGTTTGGGACGTTTTGGATTTCTCCTCCCAGTGTTTGGAGGAACCAGACTGGAGCTGCTGATGTTGATCTTGGACTTTGGCCAGCCGGGCCTTTTGACTTCCTCGCGCAGCCTTGCACAACTGGGCTCTTCAGTCCCTTCCTTTGGGTTTGCTTGTGCAGACTCTTCACTCTTTGTTTGTGACATGGCCGTCCCAGGATTGCTGTTGCTGTTGAGGTCCCTTACACACTTGGGTTCCGCCATGTCGGCTCTGGACTTTTTGCATTTGGGACCAGTGTCACCCTTGAGATCCCCTGCTCGCTTAGGCTTGCCAACGTCCGTGTTTTCGAAGTCAAATCCCGAGTCTTCACCTTCTCTGCTTGATGTGACTATGGTGGACTCAGCCCTACTAATGAGATCCTTTGTATGCCTGGACTTTGTCCCGTTTCTGTTGGATTTTGCAAACTCTGGACCAACCCCATTGACACGTGGCCTTTCATACCCTGGACCTGCTACGCTGATCTTGGACTTCTTGCACTTGGGATTGCCCTTGTTTATGAGGTCATTCTGCCAAATTAGCTCTTCCTTCCTGATGGGGGGAGTTGCGTGCTTTGGAAGTTCCATGCTCACACCAGACTTTGCGCATCTCGAACCTGTAACTTTTCCCCGCAGCTTTGCTTGACTTGGCCCCAGCTTTCTGGCCTTTGGTGGTACTAGGATGGACTTTCTGGTGTCAGTTTTGGATTTTTTGCATCTGGGATTCTTGCTGCCTTTGAGGTCACCAGCTCGATCCGAGTTCTTGGTGTTGCTCTTTTGTGGTCAACGACTGGAGTTGACCTTGTTGATCTTTGATTGCCAACATTTGGGATCCTTGTTGCCCCTACGAAGCTTTAGTCAACTGGGCTTGCAGCTCTTCTTGTGTGCCAGAGCCAGGCTTGAGTCTCTCTTGTTCACCTTTGACTTTGCAACCCCAGACTTCACATTTTTGCTCCATAGCCTTGCTTGTCTTGACTTTATCCTGCTAGTCTTAAACCATGCGTCACTAGGATCCTTGATGTTGTTGCACCTCTTTGCTTGAGCGGAGCTGCAAGCTTCTTTGTTTGGTGTGACCTGATTAAGCTTCAGCTTTTTGGTCTTGGACTATACCGTCTTGGGCAGCTTTCTGTTTCTGAGGTCATTCGCTCAGCTTGAACTTTCGCTGTCAATCATGGACTCTGCAGCCCTGGACTTGACACCCTTTCTGAGGTCAGTTGCAAAAGCAGATTTCTTGGCGTTTCCCTCCAGTTGTGCCCGATTTGGCCTAATGGTGCTAGTCTATGATTGTGGAAGTCTCGATTCCTTGTTGCCTTTGAGATCCATGGGTTGCATTGACAGCGCAACGTTTCTATTTGGCATCGGTCGCCTTGACTTGACCTTGTCTGTCTCTGACTGCGCAGCCTTTGGCTCGTCAATGTCGCTTCGTAGCTCTGCCAAATCAGATTTAGTAGTCTCGCTGTTCAGCTGCCTTCGCCTTGGGCTTCTGATATCAATTTTGGACATGGCAGAAATGGATCTGATGTTGTCGCTGCGATCCTTTGCGCATACCGGCTTTACAGTCTCTGTATCCCGCCAAACGCGATTTGAGTCTTTGCTGCTAGTTTTGGACTTTTTGCATCTTGACCCACCAGCACTGATTCATGCTGTGACTCAACCTGGTTCCGTCGTGTCAACATTCAGCTGCTTCAGGTTCGAACTTTCCCTGTTGGTATTTGATCATTTGCGAACGGGTCTTTTGCTGTTGTCGAGAAGTTGCAGTTGCTTGGGGTTCTCTTTCTTGATCTTCGGAATTTCTTGTTTAAGCTTCCCTTTGCTGGTCTACGACATCTCAACTTTGGGCTTTTCCCTGTTGGTGCGCAGTCCAATTCATCCTGAATCCCCTCTGCTGATTTCTAGCGCTTCGGAATTTGACTCCCTGCTGTTTCTTCTCGACCTCGCGCTCTTCGAATCACTTCCTTCATCGCGCAGTGCGGCCCAACTTGGCTCATTGCCGTCTCTCTTCTCCAGGACCAGCTTGGACTTCGCGATGTTAGTGCTGGATCCTTCGCACCTGGGGTTTCTGATGTCTCTTCAAAGCTTTGGTCAACTGGAGTCAATGATGCTGGTCTCTGCAACCGTATGTCCAGACTCACCGCTGCTTGTGCTTGATCATGCTTATCCAGACCTATTGTCGCTTGTCCGAAGTTACGCACAACTGGGCTTGGCGCTTCCTGCCCTGGACTGCAGTGCCCTAGATTTACCACTATCTCTGCACAGCTATGCTTGCTTGGGCGCAGCATCCCCAGTCTTCTCAGTGACAAATCCCGACTTTTTGTTTCCAGTCTTCGACCTTGCCACGATGGGTTTGCCAATGTTTCTGCAAAGCATGGGATGTCTTGAGTTGGTCATGTTGCTGTTCAGCTTTGCTCGCTTCGACCTTTTGGTGCCAGCTTTGGACTGCATTTCTCTGAGTTTATCATCGTCTCTGCGAAGTTGGGCGCGATTGGACTCAAGTTTGCTGATCTTTGGCAAAGCTAGTTCTGGCTTCTTCTTTCTGATCTTAGATACAAACTGCCTGGGATTGTTTCCTTTGTCGCAAAGCATAGGTTGAATGGAGCTCGCCATGTTTGCATGTGGCTTGTCTTGGGTCGACCTGCCGATGCCAGTGCTGGACTCTACAGCCTCTGATCCGCTGCTGCCGTCAAGGAGCTTTGCTCGCTTAGGCTTTCCTCCTTTGCTCCCTGACTGCAGTGCGCTAGACCTGCTGATGTTTTTGAGGTCTCCGTCATGTCTGGGCTTGCTGTTTTTGGCCTATGGACTGTCCCGCTTTGGATCTTCAGCTTCTGTGCTTGACATGATTGCAATGGGGTCATCAACGTCTTTAAGGTCATTGGCCCAGCTTGGTTTTTCATTGTTTGTGCTAGACTTCTTGTACCCGGACCCACCCATGCCTCTTAGAAGTATGAGTCGCCTTGGCAGCAGTTTGTTGTTGTTTAGCGTCACATGTTCCGACTTGCCACTGCCATCCCTTGATCTGGCACACTTCGAGCCAACGGCATTGATGCAAGCCTGCAGTAGCTCTGGACCTCCAGTGCCAGTCTTCTCATCTGTCCGTTTGGGCTCTAGTCTGTCTCTGTTGGATGTTGCCAGTTTGGACTTGCTAGTGCCTATCAAGAGCTCCACTTGCTTTGGTTTGATCGTGTCGATGTCTGATCTTGCCCACTGTGACTCTCCATCGTCTTTGCGTAGCTGTATTCAACTGGGTTCAGCACCTTTAATCTCCAGTGCTGCGCGATCTGATTCTGCCATATTGATCGTGGACCATCTTCGCCTGGGCCCCACTCTGTCAGTTCGAAGCCCCTCATGCATTGCCTCCTTGGTGTTGGTCCTGGACTACCTGAGAATGGGATTCTTGATGCTCCCCCAAAGCCATACTTGTCTCGGCTCTCTGATGTTGATCTTTGATGCAGTTCGTTCTGATCCATCCATGCCATCACTTGACTCGGTTCATCTTGAGTCCTTTGCATTGGTGCGAAGCTTATCAAAGCTTGATCTCACATTTTTTATTTCTGGAAGCGTGAAGGTTGGATTGGCAATTCTGACGCTTGATCATGCACTTGTTGGCCCTGTCATGTTGCCTCAAAGCTTTGGTTGCTTGGGCAGCACGATTTTTCCCTTCGGCCTCGGTTGTTCCGAGTCCCTTGTGTCCATGCTGGATTACCTGCGTTTGGGCTTGCCTCCATCCCCGCAGTCCTTTGCATGTCTCGACTTGTCCTTTTCTGTTTTCTCCTTTGCACGTTTGGAGTTGCAGCTCTTAGCACTGGACCGCGCACACATGGACTCACCACTCTTTTCACGAAGTGCTGCATGCTCTGGGCTTGTGCTGCTCATTTGTAGCTTCACACGTTTGGGGCTACCAACTTCACTTTTGGACTTTGCGCAGTTCGAATTTGCCACTTTGGTGCGTAGCTTAGCTCAATCAGATTTGCCGTTGCCACTTCTGGACCTGACACACCTGGACCTGATCCTGTCTCCGCACAGCATGGTGCAGGTTGGCTCGGCCTTCTCTACCTCCGGTAAGGTGAACTTAGGCTCCTCCTCTTTGTTGCTGGACTTTGTGAACCCAGGGCCAGTGGTTTTGGTCCATAGCCTGACGCACATTGACTTCTCCTTGTTCCCACTGGATTTTGCATCTCTGGGACCCTTGTTGTTTACCCGAGGCTTTCAATGACCTGACCTGCTGATGTTGATTTCCTGCAGATCTTGCTTCGACCTCGCTTTGTCCACCTTTGATTGCAGCGCGCTAGGTTCAGCCCTTCCGGTGAGAAGCACTGTTCAATATGGCTCTTCATTCTCTCAATATGCTGTCTTCCGATGTGGTTTGCTGATGTTCATGACCGACTTCGCCCACCCGGAATCCTTGATGCCACTGCGGAGTAAGGCTCGTTTGGGATTGTTCTTTTTGATCTTCAGTTCTTCACGACCTGAGTCATCATTTCCTCCCTTGGATACGGTCTTCCTTGACTCGCTAATGTCTTTGAGGTCACCCGTACGCATGGATTTGGCACTTTTGCTTCTGGATTTTGCAAAGGCAGAGTTGATGTTGCCACTGCGAAGCCGGAAAACATTCGGCAGCTCCCCCTTGATTTTCAGTTGTACACGTCTTGGCAGTTTCACGTCATCGCTGGACCTTGCGCACTTTGAACCAGTGGTTCCAGCGCAAAGCTCCACTTGACCTGGCTCCAGTGTCTCATCGCTTGATACGATCCACATGGACTTCTTACTGTTTTTCCAAAGCTCCTCTCAACCAGGATCCACGCTTTTGGCCACCGGTCATGGGTGTTTGGCCTCCACTCCTTCTGCCCTTGATGCTGTGGTGTTTGGATCTGCGACCTCTGCCAGAAGCATGGCTCGTCTTGATTTTGCCCCACCGACACCTGACTATACACATGCAGGACCCTCACCGTTTTTGCATCAACTTGCACGAGCTGACCCAGCCTTTTCATTCGCAGGCATGGTGTGCTTTGGACCACCCTTGCTTGCATTGGATATGATTTCTCTCGAGTCGTTTGTACCTGTGCAAAGCCTGGCCCGCTTGGGTTTCGTCACGCCCATGCTGGATTTTGCCGAGTCTGGCTCAGCCATCTCTGTTAGATCGTTTGCACATTTAGGCTTCATGCTGTCAGTGATGGGCTTATGCCGAGTGGGATTCCTCGCGTTGCTGTTGGACTTTGCACAGTTCGATCCCAGCATGTTGCTTCACAGTTTCGTGTGTTTGGGTCTGCCGTCACCTCTCCCCGATTCTGCACATCTGGGCTTGCCACTCTCACTCCAAAGTTTCATGTGCTTCGGTTTTGCAGTCTTCATCTTTGGTGTCTCTGAGTTGGGCCCTGCAGCCTTAGTGTTGGATTATGTACATCTGGAGCTGGCACCTTCTTTACGGTCACCTGCATGGCTTGGAAGTTCAGCCTTGCTTCTTGCTATGGCTGATGTGGGATTTTTGATTTTGCTACACAGTTTCGGATGGGCAGACTTCAGTGTTTCCTTGGTTGGCGTGGCATGGTTTGAACCACTTCCTTCTGTGCTTGACTTCGCGCACCTTGGCTTTTCGGCTTCGTTGCAAACCTTCGCTTGTGGTGAATCTGCCTTGCTGTCCTTGGGAATGGCCAAGTCCGGTTCATTTTTGCCCCTCCTTGATGCTTTCCAAATTGAATCTTTTCTGTTTCCTCAAAGTCCCTCATGCCCCGAACTGTGTGTGTTCACATTGGATATGTGCCAAGTGGGCTTTATCTTGTTCCTGCACAGCTACGCAAGCCTGGAGTCCTCTATTCTGGTGTTGGACTTCTTGCAACTGGGAAGCCCAACGCCTTTGCGAGGCTACGGCTGTTCAGACTTTGCAACCTCCATCTTCGGCCTTGGTCGAATGGGATTTTCCATCTCCATGTTGGACTTTACATTTGCAGGATTCTCCATGTTGGCACGGTCTTTGGCCTGAACGGACTTGCTCTTGTTCATTTTTGGCATTGGTAGGTTTGATTTTCTGTTGCTGATGCTTGATCTTACGCTGATGGACTTGTCGATGCTGTCACATAACTCTGCCCGGAGTGGATTTCTGATGCTAATGCTTGGAATGGCACGCATGTCATCCTCCCTCTTAGTACTGGACTCTAGCCACTTTGAATTCTCACCGCCAGTTCGAAGCTATGCATGGCTCGACTTCTTGTCGTCGGCCTTTGACTTCTTGCATCCTGGCTTCCCTATGTTGCTACGAGGCTTCAATCGCCCTGGTTCCTCGTTGTTTGCCTCCGGATTTGCGAAATTTGGGCTGTTGCCTTTGTCGTTGGACTGTATCCACATGAGCTCGTCATCTTCACTCCACGGCTATGCATACTTAGAATTTGTACTTTCCGTCCTGGGCTTAGGCCATTTTGAACTGCCCTTGCCACTGCAAAATCTTGGTCGAGTGAGTTCTCCACTGTTGGTTATGGGCATGGGGCGCCTTGACTTTTCAGTTCCAGCTTTGGACTTTGTTCACATGGGCTCTACCTTGCCAGCTAGATCTTTTGCATGATCTGATCTGGCGGCATCAATCTTAGATTACCTGCGACTTGAACTTTCCATGTTTTTACGAGCCTTTTCTCGACTGGACTTTTCGACGCTGGCATTTGGAAAGACAAAATTTGACCTTGCACTTTCGATTATGGATCTTGCAATCGTGAGCTTCTCGACGTTTTTCAGGTCGTTTGTCAAACTAGGATCAGTTTTGTCAGTGTCGGACCTTCCATCAATGGGCTTCTTGACGTTTCTGCGCAGCTTGGCTCATCTTGACCCGGCATCTTTGCTGTTTGGAATTGGCCGCACGGGACTCGTTGTGTTGATCTTGGATGCAAGCGTTACAGGCTTGTCTTTGCCAGCTCGTTCAAGTGTTCACATGGGTTCAGCCCCCTTTCTGCTGGAACTTGCACATGCAGAACTCTCTCTTCTGCTGCGCTCCTTTGCCCGACCTGACTTCTCCGCATTCGCTTTGGATGCATCTCATATCGGATCCTCCATACTGTTGAGAAGCTTTGGTCACATGGGAAGTTTCATGCTTGTCTTTGGATGTGGACGTATCGACTTCTTCGTGTTGATGTTGGACTTTGCTCTCATGGACCCGCTGATGTTTCTAAGATCTTTGGCTCGACTTGATTCTGCACTGCTTGTTTGTGGCATGGGTTGCTCTGAATTCTTAGCGCTGCTGTTGGACAGTCTGCACGCTGATCCTTCACTGTCATCTAGAAGCTTCTCTCGGCTTGGCTTGGCTATGTTGATCTTAGACTATCTAAGACTCGAATTGCTGCTTTCAGTGCGTTCACCATCTCGACCAGGACTTCCCATGTCATTCTGTGGCTTGGGCAGACTCGACTTGTTGGCATCACTCCTGGACTTCATTGATGCTGACTCTGCAGTGTCTGTGAGGTCCTCCAGCCAACTGGGCTTCGTCGTGTTGATCTTAGATTATACACTTGCAGAATTTCCACTGCCAGCTCAAAGCCGTTGTTGCTCCGAGTTTTTTTTGTTGATGTTGGATTTCACCATGTTCGGCAGCCCCATGTTCATGCGATGCTTCGGCTGTATAGATTCAGGAACGTTGATTGCTGGCAAGTCATGCTTCCGTTCCTTGCTGTTCGCCTTTGACTTTCTACACTTGGACTCTTCGCTTTTGCTGCATAGCACGGCACAACTAGGCCTGCCTCTGTCTGTCTTGAACCTTGTTTGCATCGAATTTTCACTGCTGATCCGATCCCTTTCCCAACTAGACCTCCCGTTGTTGATCTTGATGACTGAGTCAATAGACCCACTGATGTCACCTCAAAGTTCTGGATAACTGGGCTTTGCACTCCTTCCCTTTGGCCAAGGTAAGCTTGATCCACTGCTGCCGTCGCTGGATTTCACTCTCTTTGGCTCAGCTGCTCCAGTGCAAAGTCTTGCTCAAATGGACCTGAGTGCATCCGTTATGGACTTTATCAACCCCGAACCCAACTTGTCACCGCGATCGTATGTTCGCCCTGGCTTTTTGCTGCTGTTCTTTGGAAGGGCTCGCACAGGTCAGAGGATCTCAATCTATGACTTTACGAGTTTCGAATCCACTTTGCCTGCCCAAAGCTCCATATGACTTGAGCTGGTCATGTCAGTGTTGGACTTTCTATTCATGGGCTCATCAATGCCTTTGCAATCACTTGGTTGAGTTGAATTCTCATTCTCCGCATTTAGCTGCACTGCGATGGACCTGACCATGCCAGTCTTCGATTTGTCCAACTCTGAACCGACATTTTTGGTCCGATCCATGGCGAAGTTCGGCCCACTACTCTTGATCTACGGAGGGACTTGCGGGATGTTGATGTTGTTGTTCGACTTTGCACACATGGGCTCTACAGTGTCAGTGCACCAGTTTTCACGCATTGGGGGCAGCTTGTCACCCTTCGATTTTACGTCCCTGGGCTTGTTCTTGTTGGTACAAAGCATGGCATGTCCTGGCAGCGCATCTTCGTTCTTCGGCATGCTGCGCTCAAACTCGTCCATGCTTCTGCTTGACAGCATCTCGGTGGGATCAATGGTTTCAACGAGAAGCCTTGGTCGATTTGGCCTGAAGCCTTCACCCTTTGGAGCAGGTTGCTTTGATTTCTTGGTGCTGATCTGTGATTTTGTGAATTTGGGCTTCATGACGTTTTTGCGGTCTGTAGGTCGTTCGGGTAGCGATGTGTCGGTCTTTGGCCTGACTCGATTTAAGGCAGGTCTGTTGGTCTTGGACTTCAGCCACTTGGGATCTTCGCTTTTGGTGAAGAGCTCTAGTAGTTCTGGCTTTAAGTCTCCTCTCTTTGGACGCGCACGAATTGACCTCATGGCTTTTTTGTTGGATTTCATTGATGTAGAGTCCTCCGCATCGTTTCAAAGTTGCTCCAGGACTGATTCCAAGTCATCTACCTTCGGAGCTGGATGCTTTGACTTGTTCTTGTTCATGTGTGACTTTAGCAGCTTGGGCTTTTCCATTTTGTTGAGAAGTGTAGCCAGATTGGGTCTCATGGCGTTTGTCTATCGCTTGTTGAGATTCGACCTTTCGCCTTTGATCTTCGATTTTGCCTTGTTCGACTCCTCCATGTCAGTACGTTGCCACACCAGATCTGGTGAGCACATCTCCGTGGCAGGCGTGGCACGCCTGGCTTCGGCCATTAACATGGACGAGCAAGCCTTGCTGGGGAGCTCCCTCCCGGTCACGTCTTATGCGCGCTTGGGATTGGTGTTTTCATTGTGGGGTATTGGCCGTTATGGATTATTCGTTTTGATTTTGGACTACGTCACTCTTGCGTCCACCTTGTCCTTGCAACAGTTCGCATGTATGGACTCTGCGCTGTCAATACTGGGTACTGCTCGATTAAGTTTGCCACTCTTGGTCTATGACAGCGTTTACACAGGATTCTTGACTTCTCTACGCTCCCTAGCCCAATGTGGATCATCGATGTTCATGTTGGACTTTGTGAACGTGGGTAGCTCCGCGTTCTTGCAAAGCAGCAAGTGAATGGGCTTTCTGTCGTCAGTCTTCGGCTGCACATATCTTGACTTCAGCCTTTTAATCCTTGACGTTGTAAAGCTGGGCTTAAGTCCTTCGATCCAAAGTTTCTCATGCTCTGAATCCCCTCCATCTCTCTTCTCCAGGGCAAGTCTTGACTTTCCATTCTTTGTCTTGGACTTTGGTCATATGGAGTTCTTCATGCCAGTTCGCTCTTTCAGTCACTCTGACTTCACCTTGTCCTCGCGATCTTCTGGTTGGCTGGAGCCCGCAATTCCTCCTTTCGCCGCGTCACAGATTGATTTGCTGATATTTCCCTTGGACTGCTCGTTATTAGGTCCAGTGGTGTTGACCAGATCACCTGCTCGTTTAGAACCTCAGCTTCCTTTGTTTGGCTGCGGCTGTTTTGACCTCTTCTTGTTGCTCTTTGATGCAAGTCATATGGGCTCATCTATGCCTGCGAGGTCGCCCGCCTGCCTGGGTTCCAAGCTGTTCCTCTTTGGAATGACACATCCTGGATCGCGGATGTTCGCGTCTGATTGTTCTCACTTGGGCCCATTGCTTTCCTTGCGGAGCTTGGCATGAACGGAACCAGCCTTCTTAGTCTTTGGAATGGGCAGATTTGGTTTGCGTGTTTTTGTCATGGATGTAAGTCATACTGGGCCACTGCTGTCGCCTCGATCTTTCGCTCAACTTGACTTGTCGTTTCCACCTGAAGGAGTTGGGTGTTTCGGCTTTCCGCTGCTTGTCCTCGACTTTCTGCACCTAGACTCCTCGACGCTGCTGCACAGCTTCGCAGCTATCGGTTCTGTGCCGCCTTTGTTTGGCATTGGTCGCGTTGAACCGCTTTTGCCACTCCTTGATGTGTCATCCTTAGGCTCATTGTTGTTGGTGCGCAGTTTGGCATGATGTGACTTGGCCTTTCCACTGTTTGGAGTCGGGTGTGTTGGCTCTTTGTCGCTACTCTTTAACTTTGCACACACCGACTTCATGATGTCGATCCATAGCTTAGCCAGTCTGGACTCGCACTTTTCACCCTTCAGTACTGGAAGATTTGGATCAAGTCCATCTGTGTTTGACTTCTTGCACATTGAATTTTTGACGTTCTTGCAAAGCTGTGGCTGCTTGGAGCTCGTTTTGCTGGTCTTTGGATTTACGAGAGTTGGTCCTTTCTTGTTTCTCCTTGATCGCGTTCAACTTGGCTTTAGTTTGCCTTCGAGATCCCTTGGGCGTCCTGGATCTTCTTTCCCTCTATTTGGCATAGGATGCCTCGACTTGTCATCCAGCTTGCTTGACAGTCAGCTTCTGGGCTTTCTGCTGTTGATGCGTTCTTCTGCTCGCCTCGGTCCTGCCGCATCTCTATTTGGACTTTCCAGGATGGAATCACCTGTCTCTGCATTAGACCACCTGCGTCTGGAACCGTTTTCGTCTTCAAGGTCTTTCGCATAAACGGACAGCGTAGTGTCTCTGTTTGGCATATGCAGGGTTGATCTTTCCACGCCACTCCTTGATGTGACATCACTTGGCTCCTCGATTTTGGCCCAGGCCTTCAGTAGGACAGACTTCTTGTCGTTTCTTTTCGGCACAGGATGTACTGATTTGTCATTCTCATCATCTGAATTTAGCAGTCCAGATCTGCTGGTGTTCCTGCAATCCTTGGCCCAAATGGGATCCAGCTCCTTGGCGTTTGGCTTGGGTCGATTCGGAAGTTCTGCGTTGGCCTTGGACTGTGCTACTCTTGACCCATTCCTGCCATTGCATTCACTCGGAAGACTTGATTCCACAATGCTTCCATTTGGTCTGGGCAGGTCTGAATCGAGTTCATTGGTGTTGGACTCCTCCACCATGGGTTCCAGCATGCTGCCGCAAAGTTGTGCTTGACTGGAACCATCCTTCTCCACTTTTGGATTAGGTTGCTGTGATTCTTCGCTGTCTGTTTTCGATCTCCTGCATTTGGGATCCTTTTCATCCGTGCACAGTGTCGCTTGATTTGAGTTGCCGCCATCTCCAATGCAATTTAGATCAGGATGTTTTGTGTTGATCTTTGACTGCGGCCTTGCTGACTTGCCACTGTTTGCGAGATCCTCCGGTCGAATTGGACTGGCACTGCTGATGTTTGGTCTGGGAAGGATTGACTTGACGATGCCCATTTTTGATGTGGCTCACCTGGAATCATCCACGTTGCCCAGGTCTCCTGCTCAACTGGGTTTGTCCTCTTTGCTCTTTCAACTTGGTCGAATGGGATTGTCCGTGTCAGCCTTGGATCTTTTGCATTTGGGCCCGCCCATGTTGCTGCAATCCTTTGCTTAACTGGGTTCGGTGCCTCTGGTGTTCGGCGTTGGGTGAGTAGAGTCCAGCCTTTTGTCGTTTGACAGTTCTCATTTGGGATTCAGCCTTCCTTTGCGCAGCTTGGCCCAACCAGACTCTTCCATGCTTGTGTGGGGCTCAGGGCGCTTTGAGTCGACTGCTTTGATGTTTGAGGCATGTCTCCTAGGATCTTTCCTTTTTTCGCACGGTTCCGCTCACTTGGACTTGGCCATGTCAATGTTTGGCATTGGTCGCCCTGACTCCTCCCCTTCGGTCCTGGATGTTACAGAGCTGGGATTTGCGCTTCCTCCTCACAGCCTGGCCTGTCTGGAGCTGTCATCCTTCCTCTTTGGTTTCGGGTGTCTCGACTTCTTGGTGTCAGCCCTTGACTCTGCCAGCATTGGATTGTTGGTATCTATTCAAAGCCTCGGCTGTCTGGGCTCCTTGTTGCCACCCTTTCGCATCGGCCGAACGGACTTCCTGACTTTGGTCTTGGACTTTCTTCATTTGGGTCCAACGCCTTCCTGCCGAAGCATGGCACGACCGGACCTGACCTTGTTGATCTTTGCAACCGGACAAGGAACTGCATTGTCTTCGTTGGATTATAACCATCTTGATTTATTGCCATTGGCCCATAGCATGGCATATGTTGGATTGGTTCTGTTTCCCTTTGGCATTGGCTGTTCTGACTTGCCGTTGTCGGTGTTTGACCTCCTGCATCCTGGCTTTTCCATGCTTTTGAGAAGCAGCGCAAGAACCGGCTTGCTCCTGCTGACTTTCGGAACGTGCCGAATGGTCACCAAATTCTTTGTCTTCGATTGTGCCCACACAGGTTTCCCACTTTTCGTTCGCGCCTTCTCTAGCTCAGGGTTTCGACTTTCAACCTTTGGCCTGGGAAGGTTTGATCTATTGCTCTTGGTGTTTGACAGCGTTCATTTGGGGCCAAGCCTTTCGTTGCACGGCTTGGCCTGTTTGGGATCCACATTTCCTACCTGGGGCCGCACGCAGCCAGGTTCCCCAGTGTCCATCTTCGATTTTGGCACCATAGAACTGCTCATGTCGCTTCGAAGCCTTGGTCGCATGGGCTCCTTTTCGTTTATCATGCGCCTGGGACGCTTCGGCTTTTCTTTGTCGGTCTTCGACTTTTTGCATTTGGGTTTGTTGATGTTGGCCCACAATTTCGCATTGGTGGGCCCTGCCACGTCTACTTGCGGCTTAGTTTGGGCTGATTTGCTGGTGCTGCCCCTGGATCCCACACACATTGGTTCATCCGTGTTCGTAAGGCAGCTTGGACAAATGGGCTCATTGCTTCTTCTGTGTGGCTTGTCACGCTTTGGATTTTCGTTGTCATTGTTTGGCTACTCTGTACCAGAGTCCTCTGCTTCATTGCAAAGCCCTGCGTGGTTGGAATCAGCACCTTCTCCACTGGACTTTCACTCTGTAGAATCTTCGATGTTTATGCAAAACCCTGCATGCCTTGACCTTGCCATGCCGGCATTTGGACTGACATGCTCTGGCTTCCCATTTTCAGCCCTTGACTTTGCACACATTGACTTCATGGTGTCAATCAGGTCGCCCGGACAAGCAGAATCTGTGGTTCCAGTGTCCGGTAAGTTCTGTCTCGATTTTACCTTGCCAGTGTTGGATTTCTTCCGCCTTGACCTCTCATTGCCAATGCAATCGTATGCAAGAGTAGGACTGGCATCTTTTGCGCTCGGAGTGGCTCGAGTTGCATCCAGCCTATCACTCTTTGACTGTACAGCCCTGGGAAGTATGTTGTCCGCGCGCAGTGGATATCGCTTGGACTCAAGGCTTTCAGTTTGCTCAACCATTCGATTTGACTCTTCGCTCTTTGCTCTTGATTTCGTGAACATCGGCAGCACTCTGTCTGTCGGAGCAATCAGGACAGGGCAGGGTTTAGGGCAGAGTTGCTGGTGTTTTGCAAGAAAAGTACAAATTGCAAGAGACTCTTCACATCCCTCAGGGGAATTCCCAGAAAATCCTCCCGTCATGCAAAAAAAGTTTGCAGGAGAATGATTTGGAAATCCATGGAATTTCAGTGAGTTTCAAATATATGACCCTGCACCAATATGAGTTTTCTTTTTCCGGCGACAGTTTATGTTGGTGGTGCCCCAAGGTTTAGCATACCTATGGCTGGACACGCCAGGACAGCACAAATCTCTGATGGGGCAGGCGATCCTACGAAGATTGTGATCAGCTCGCAGCACGGTTGCAGCGATAACTTGGGGTTTCCGCCCCAAAAAGAATCTTGTGACCTCGGTCCTAAGCACCATCCTACATCTGGGCATTGGATCCCTCCATTGGGCCCTGGGGGAATTTGATATTCATTTTCTTCGGGCTTGTTAAGGGGATGGGATGATTGCTTTGCACATTATGTTCTTTCAAAAAAGCTGGGTGGTGTATTTTTATGGAACAGCGTCCCTGTGATGCGGGTCATCTTTCGGTTCCAAGGACGACCATGGAGATGTACGCAGCTTCGTACAGAGGCATCTCGGTCACAGCCGCTGGTGGAACCTTGCACGGCTCAAACCTCAGAAGTGGGCCATAGATTTTTCATGCGCAGAAAAATCTGATGAAATCTGCCAGATTTCTGCACTTTTTACCCATGCATTTTGAAGAATTTTGGAGCCACTGCCATGACTCCCAATTTTTGGTGGCTCTTTGAGGTGCTTGGTCTTCGGAGGCCAGTATTACCACCTCCGTCTGGCCCTCAGGCAGTTGATTCATTGAGGGCTCCCTGGATTTCCATGGGACGGGCCACTGAGGATAGACGTCTCAAGCGCAACATCCAGCCACTGTACGAAACCATTGCAAGTCAAGCAAAAGATCGTGTGACTCTCAGCATGAGAGTTGAAGGTTGACATCATCCGAAAGAGTTTTTGAACGCGTCTCGCAGTGCTCTAGTGACTCTAGTGAGCACGTGATTTTCAAGCGTTGATCTGAGACCTGAAACGTGGCTTTGTCGTATCCTAAAACAGGCTAAGCCCTGCTAAGCCCTCTATTTCTGGTGAACCTCCAGCTGAGGCTGGGAAGGTTCAGGAGCATCTGGACCCAAGTGCAAAGCTCAGTCGCCACCCAAAAACTGGCTTTGGATTTGGAAGCCTTGTTTTTCTGACCCCACCCAACATTTTGCAGGATTGGGAATCAATCCTTTACTTTTCATCTCATCCAATTAATTTACAGGGCTTGGTCAAGGGCAAATGTCCCACTTTGTGGAGTTTACACATCGCCCCAGGATGGTTGTTGTGATTCCCGACTGGTTTGGGTGATGCCAACGGCATTTCACCCCTCCCAGGCCGAGTGAAGGCGACCAGGTGAAGTGGCTGCTGCGTGAACTACGCCCTGTTTCCTTCCAGCTGAAGCGGGGAGCAGAAGCCAAGTGCGCCCAGCAGCCAGTGGTGCTTCACAGGTGGAGGGATATGATATGATCATCATCAGAATCATGGATGATGATGGTGATGATGATTCTGATGATGGTGATCATTGATGGTGATCATTGATGGTGATATGATCATCATCATCATTATTCATGATCATTGATGATGGTGATGATGATGTCGATGCTGTTGATCATTGTTAAGTCATGGAACACCTTCATCGAAGATCATTTCGATGAAGGTGGTGATGAAGCAACATGACCCTCAAATCTCATCAAACCTCATCAAACCTCATCATTTGATTGTTGCCAGACATTTGAACTGAGGTACCTGAAGTTCGGTTTCATCGCACAGGAGCTCGAAACCGTCTTCCCAAATTTGGTGCGCTGCCCTAGCTGTGGATTAACCGATCATTTCCATCCGATGGCCATGGTTTGTAGGTTCCTTCAGCTGCCACTTTTCAGTTGTGATGACTGTTGCCACCGTAAAAGCGACGCCCAGGTGCGCACAGTCGCAGGCGACACCAAAGCGATCGCGAGCCAGGTCCCTGCGAGCTTGGAATGTGGGGATGGCATGAGAAGCTGGGCATGCAAGTCATATGAACGATCAACAAACATGGAATGTGAATATGGCAAAGAATGCGATCAATGATGATCATGATAATGGTGATGGTGTCCAGGGTGATGATGGATGGTGATGGAAATGGTGATAGTTGGCATATATTACTCCACAGTTTTTGAGCTCTTTGGAAGTCTCAAGGGAGAGGTTATGACATTTCTTCCCCCAGAAGTACCATTTGTTTGATAGGTCAGACTTGGGTGTTTGATGGATCTCCAAATCTGAAACGCAGGACCTCATTGCAGTGCTCACCCTCGCATTCCAGAACCTCCAGAAGGAGCTGCCACTGATGCAACTGATGCAACCGATACCTGGTGCTGGATGTCGTTTCGGGTATTTCGGATTTGTCTTGTTTCATTTTGACTTGCTGTTGGGCCAACAAACGGATGGAGTTCCCTCTCATGACTGCACAGCCCACAGCCATCCACAGCCGACAGGAGCATGACGAGTACAAGCAAAAGGTCATGGAACAGGATCTCGAGTTGCAAGACCTGAAGAGAAGACTTGATCGGCTCGAAGGTGCGAAACGTGCGAAGCCTGACTCGTCCCAGATCATCCCACATCCAGTGTCTGTGTTCAGTGGGATTACAACGGGGGCATCCATGGGCATCCCATATCCGCCATATCCTACTAAAATATAGGACATGGATATCCCAACCATGCCGTTCCAAGGAAGATCCCTGTTAAAAATTGGGTTTGTCTGAAACAAAAAGGTACCCCAGACCCTGTGGTCAAGGTTAATGGATGTAAATTGTGGGTATCCAATGGAATTAAGTTGCTATAAATCACTAGTTTTCCAGATTCACATTCAGATTTTCCATATATTGGGGGTAAATCCAGCATTTCCGAACAAAAACCCAGATGGCATCCTGCAGGTGTGCGACTTTGAGACTGAACTTCACGGCCGTCAAGCTTGCACTGAAAGGGGCGACCAACAAGTCACGCCACCAAGGTTAAGATTGGACCGGATGATTCAACTCAAATTTAAGGGAACAAATCCCACACAAGCTGCAAACAAGGAGTGAAATCTCATTCAGAAAGGAACAAAATCAACTGACGCAGCTTGTTTTCGAACCTTTCAGTGCATCGGGCAGCTGTGAATTTACATGAATCCATTGAGATTTATCCAAAAAAAGCCTGCAAGGGGGAGACAGGGTGGATTCTGTTCGGGGAAGGCCAGGCTGCCATGCCCCTTCTAAATCCGTTGGTTGGGTGGGCATGTCCCAAAGTTGGTGATCCCCAAAAACACTTTTGCCTGTTCATGTTGTGAGCCTTAACCCAGGGGTTTCGGGTCCCATTCTTTTCAAGATATATTTTAAGCCGTAAATGAGGCCACTGCTGAAAGTGCCAGGAATAGCTTCCAAGCACAAGAGTTTTTGCGCTTTGCAACATGGGACAGTTGAATTACCACCAGCCAGATGTCTTGAGTCTTGACAGTTGGTCATAGTGCTGGATGTGGATCAAAGTCTTGTGATGAGGATTCTTTCTGGCCACATGGTTCAAGCATAGCTTAGCCCGGAAAGCCCATGAGACAATGCCATGATCCAAAGGTTCTTGCGCAGGCCTGGATCGCTGGAGGCAATGAAGTGAAGGGTACTCCACATCGTGGGCATATCCTGGGGACAAGGAAGGGATCTCCACGGAGCGTTCGCAAAGGATGACGACAACTTGCATCTCAAAAGAGGGAAAAATGTGGAAATATCATCATCAATCCGTCAGTGAGTGCTGATAGCTTTGGTAATGTCTGGTACATGTTCATCATTCAAAAACCATTTTTATAGGATTTTATAGGTGGTATATATCAATATTACCATATAGTTACCATTCCCATTATATGATTCTCACATATTCTCACTCTCCGACATCTTGATGGGACTGCCATGGCTCCTGCGGCCGTTCTGCGTTGCGAGGCGCCTGGGACCCTGGGAAGGGGGGGTAACTTGACCCTCCAAAGACGATGTTCCGGAATATCAAATTCATCAAAGTATGAATTATGAGATCTCCCTATCAAACAAGATCCCTGTGGTTATATGATGTTATATGTATATAAATCAGTAAATCACTGTTTTCATGTGTCCAGGCACTTCTTCTTGAGTCGATGATTGGGACTTCAGTGGCCCGCAAGCCATCAGGGTCAGCCAGATGAGCTGATCCTCATCGAGTTGCAGAGTACTGTCTACATGGAGGATGCTGCGATGGGATGTCAACCTGTTTCGCCGATCTAAAGGGATAGAATCGGATAGAACTTGATATGGAGCCCTCAAATTGGGATCTTTGGAATCCGAATGTATGTTACACAGTTTGCATAGATGATTTTCCTCTTGCATTCGGCCTTGGGTTTGCAAATTAGATTGAAGTAATGGGGTGTCTTCTGCCGGGATGTTGAACAGATATTCTGCCGCCCTCATCTGCTTTACCTGGCAAGGACGGCTCCAAATTGGTTGGGCAGCATCTTGGAACTCTGGAGATTGGCAAAGAAGGCCTGTCGATTTGGGGCAGACAGGTAGTGATGTACTTGGCAAAGAGACCGCAGGCGGAAACTTTCTGTCTCAATACTTGTTGCGACTATGATTCAAAAACAATGACAGGACTGGGTTTCTAGAGCCAACACTTAGTTGTTTCTTCACAGTGCAGGCAACGTCACCTTGAACAACGGCCCTCGATGTTTGTACGGCAAGATGCAGGAGCTAAAGAGCCCACTGGTGCGCCGATTGTTGGTGGATGGCTGGATGTGTGACTAGTGGATGACTATAATTACTATTTTTTTGAAGCTGTTTTTTGCAACCCGCTTACGGTAAAAAAGAGGAGATGGTTTATTGAAGCTTATGTTTGGCTTACCATGTTAACGATGTATATTTGGCATGATATGTGCACATTTGAGTTGTTCTTTACGATCATTCAGGTTGAAGGTTGGCGACTGTCCTGAATTTGTTCAGACTTTGTTCGATTGACTTCTGTTGGCTGTCACAAAATAGATGTCGCAGACAGCTGTGCACTGGAGGTACTGATGGAAAAGACTGGGCAGGACGCTTCTGCTCTGCGGACATGGTCAGTGGCCCCTGGTTTTTAGATTACAAATTTCAAGATCCAAGGGATCCAAAAGCAGAGAATTCGGTACAGGACCAAACATAGGTTCGATCGCCCTCGATGTGGCGGCGCCGTGCCATGGTGAGGAAGATGCTTCCGGAGACTTGATCCTTGCTACTCGAGGCGTTGTGTATCGGAAGGCACGTTGAAGTTCTGCTGATTTTGTGGATGTGGGCTTGTCCAAAAATGGCATGCTGTGCACCCGAAAATAGCAGTTTCAAATGTATTTTCATGGGAAAAATGATGATCAACCATCAAAGTTTTGGGTTTCCCTATTTTCAGACAATCCCATAGTGTGGCTGAAACTACCACGTTTTCTTGCAGTTTTTCAGAGGTTGGTTGCAACATTCTACAGCTTGGCGACCAGGCGGTGTTCAATCAGCGGCCGCAGCTCTCTGTTTGAGAGGACCAAGATGACCTGGCACGGTGGGCAAAGCAGTGGGTGAAGCCTTGTTGTTCGGGGAAGGAACGGTGCAACCGTTGGTAGTTGGTAGGAGCGACCTACCCAACCAACCAGTGCATGATATTTCTAATCAACATGATTTGAATGTGAAGTGGGCGTCGTTGCGGATGATGTCGCAGCTGTGTGTCATGTCGATTCTTTTTGGCTCAGAGGGGACCAGCATTTTGCTGTCCCTAGTGGATGGTTCAAGGAACCATCAGATCCATGATTGTTTGACAAGGCCTGGAAACTGCTGAAGATCTACAATCAATGCAGTGTTGCACCGCAACCTTCAATCCATGTGACTTCAGATGCCCCGGCTCTCAGGACATCCAACCAGATGCACCAGCTGGTGCTTCTGTCAATCCTCGGATTCCTGGAAGCCAGGCCAGTGGGTGGGGAACTGTTCGGTTGGACATTTTCCCCAAAATGGGTGAGATGATGGGGGCAGTGTCCCCAAACTTGGCTCATGCCCTGAAAAAAACACCAGCAGATTTTTGTTGCGGAGCTGGCAGCTGGGTGAAGGTCTGCCTTCACTTCCGACAATTCCTTGAAGGCTCTGCTGCTCGGCTGAAGCCGCCTGGGCTGACCCATGAGAATATGGGTCAAACGTCGTGACAACCAACAGAAAAAGATGCAAAACCTGTAGATTTTGGGGTAGTTCTAGGATAATTACCACATAGAGGCAAGTTTTTTGGCTGTCCATATACGAAACTTTTTTGATCCGTGCCAAGGCTTTTTTGGCCGGTGGACAGCGCCAACCGGACACAGGACCTATTGGGATCATCAAGGAATCAAACGAAAAAACGCTGGTACGCTTGTGATAGGTTGAAGCCACCACCAGTCCTTGATAGGTTGAAAGTTACAGAAAGTTACAGGATCTTGAAGGTGTGCCACCTCATGGATAGAACCTGACTACCGTCCATAGACTGCAGACGTCCAGATTCACGCCAGGAAAATGTCGTACGTAATGTGGCGCAGCTTGCTTGAGAAAAGATGAGAACGAAACGGGGTTGAAAACTGTGCAGTTGTAGTGCATAGAAGATGAGGGTTCGTTGCGAAAGGATCTTATGTCTTATGCAAATGGGTCAAGATTTGGCACGCCCAGGGATTCATACTGTAGTTTTTAGTCGATTTTCATTCATTCTTAGTGGCAACCCATCCGCCATGTCCACTACGTTGTGAGGTATGCACGCCGCATGGGAGGACGTCAATGCTGCGATGTGATGCTGGCGTATCATGGCTGGAGGGGTTTGCCTACCATGGAGGAAGTGGAGTAGTTCACCCTAAAACGGGAGTAGATAGGGGTAACTGGGGTGGAGTTGTCCCGAGCAAAGCGAGCACTTTTCCTAGTGTGCCGTTGTTTTTGTTGTTTTCGGTAGAGATCATCCAGCTTTGGTCAGCGTCGCAAGAATGGCATCATCACTGGGCCCACGACATGAATCACCAGCAAACCTAAGACGCGACCTCGGTTTTCCAAGGCATTACAAGGGAACCTCCGATGACTGGAACAAAGAGTGGTACCTGAGCGAAGTGACGCCCTACCCTCAGATCGTGCGATGTCGCTGTGATGCTGAGACTGGGTCTCCGGTTGATGCTTAGGAACAGCTTCCACAAAAGCGGAGCCTTGGCGCAGATTTAAACCCAAGCACAGATGCCGCAACTTATCAATGGTTGGCTGTGAAACAACGAGTTCCCCTCCCATGTTTTCCAATCAATGGGTGAATGAGTCTAGATATTCGAAACCAGCCCATCTAGTCTTCCGTTGAGAGTGGAAAGCCCTTCACTGCACGGAATCTCAGGCTATAAATTCAAGTTCCTGCAAGCATATCGAGAGGAATGGCTTCTTGGCTGGATGTGTGGATATCCTTAGGCTTTAAGGACCTTCAAAGCCGATAGGAAAACCCAGGCAGTTTGTCATGAAGTCTGAAGGGATCTGTTGTGGGGTTCCTAAGTTGACAAACAATTTAGAAGTTCCTATAGCTTGGAGGTGTGTGATCCACCTAAACGCCCTACTTCTGCCTAGTTCTGTACGAAAACCTGGTTTCGGAGGATCACCAATTGTGGGTGAAATTCAGCTGCAGGCAGCAGAAGTACGAATTCGTTTGGGCGCTTGTGGGGATCTCAGCATTGGTGGATGGGCTGTAGGCACATTTCCATCACAGGTCTCATTGAAATGAACAATTTCGGAATCACTGTAGGCAAATGAATCATGTCATGTCTAAAAAGTTGCAGGACCCTCGGATTGGTAACGATTTCACGTGGTATCCCCCACCTCAGAGGCCGCTCTTAACCCAGAGCACATCAGAGCACATCAGATGTTGCCAATTTCTCATCCGAAACAACCCACTTGTTGGGATATCCCCCATCCAACAAAAACACCACATTCAAAGTGGTAAAACACGTAAAACACGTTGGCATATGTTGGCATCAGGACAGTGACATTGACTTCACCGGGGTGAACCTGGTGGAACTGTTCGACTTAGCTCGTTCCTCCGGCTCCTTGTGCCTCGGCTGGCGCTTGGGACTTGGGTGAATCGGATGGCAGCTGCTGGGACCTGCTGGGAAGATCTGAGGATCGTTGGGCCGACCTTCGCGGGAGAGCAGGCGTGGAAGACCTATGCCACGGATTTGATGGCACACAAGGTTCGGGGGTCAGTGGTGAAGGGAGTGAGCCAAAGAAGTTTTACTTTGTCTCTTTTGTTTTTGGCAAGCTTCAATTCAGAAGTTGAGGCCGAGCTTCAGTGCACGAAAACGGGCTTTTGTTTTGTTTTCTATTGTTTTGTGATTTGAGGGATGCAGGGAGTCACAGGGCTTGCTTGTCGCAAGCTGGTACGGCATGTACGGTCTATAAATCTCAAATTGTCAAGGCGCTGTTGCGGAGCGACAACAAAGAAGACCACGAGATCAATGTGCTCGGATACTTGGTGAAGTCAGCTCGCTGGGAGTTTTGCGCAATTTGTTGGATACTACTCCGTGAAACAATTCGAATCATGGACTGCTGGTCATTTCACCCATAAACAGGTATCAACAGGTGGGGGATCTCTTTGATCAACAGCAGTAATGATTTCTGCTTGAGAATCCCAGCAAATGTGTCACTACTTTGGGTCATAATCTGAAAGAAAATACAAAAGGACTGACAGGGACGCACATCCCCAGCCACAGGAAAGCCAGATCCACGCCACTTGGCTGAAGTGTTGGGCATGTGAGTCATCCAATCGACTACAGGCAACTGTGAAGCTGCTGGTGGAATCCTTCGTCTTCTTGCCCATTGGGTACAGGTCAACTAAGACTTTTGACAATTCTGATGATTTTTGGTATATAGCAGATTATCATGATATTCAATTCTCTATTGTCTGGTTTTGAAAGCCATCACTACTCGAGCCTCGAGCCATTCCCGGAGTTGTGCCACTTTTTGTGCCCAACAAGCGGTCAGAGTGGCATGGACAGATCGATCGAACACATCGAAGCCCTTCTTTCAGCTTTGAGGTATGGTCCAGAGGCAGTTCGTAAGATCAAGGAATTGTTTGGGTTGAAATCAGACAGTTCCGGGACTTGGCCCCCAGGAAAAACAGTCAAAATCCAATTCCAGGAGGAGGAGGTGAATGGGAAAGACCGGAAACACCCCAAGATTTTCCAGTGGAAACCCGAAAGCGAATATTTTCACGAGGTGATCATGAGACAGGCCGCCATTGGAGACTTTGAGGTTTCCTATCAGGACAAAGATGGAGACAAGGTACAGTTGGATGCCACAAAGCCTGGCATTGAAGCATTCCTTTCCGATCACAACCAGCACTCCAGCCCCAGGCTGCTAGTGGAGTGGCGCCCGCCCACGACTGGCGAGACCATCCAAAGCACAGTCAAGAAAGCCAAAAACTGGTTGACTGGAGGGGGTGGTGCCACGGATCAAGCTGTAAAAGCTGCACAGGAGAAGGTGGAAAAGGAGGGTGGAAAGATCACTGTGAGCTCTGGTTCGGGGCGAAGCTTGGTTGATCACAAGGGCTACAGGAAGGAGGATTGGCCTGATGCAGTGAAAGGTCTAGCACTTCAGATGGGACTTTCCGAAGATCAAAGAGAAGCACTCCAGAGTGCGGGACTTTGCGAGGATGGAAAAGCTCAGCACTTTTGTGAGGACATTGTTGGCAACAAGATAGTCACTCAGTTCTCTGCCTACCACATCGTTCGCCGTGGCGACAAGATCGACGTGGTCTATGGGAAGCACGTGGAGTCCATGGAGGTGAGCGGAGGAGGGACATCTTTGCCAAGCGAGAACTGCATCCAGCACAATGGGTCTCTCTTCGCCGTGTGGCCGCCGGGAGGATCTCCACACAGCAAGACAAGAGGGGAGGACATGAAGGGTTTGACAGTAGAGATTCCTTCCGGGTGGCAGGTTGTGGATTCGTCCCAAGAAGGCTTCGACAGCATCCGGCAACGGGTGATCGCTCCATATGGGTGGCACACAAATGCCCTCGTGACCAGCGGCCCAGACGGTAAGCTGCAGGGATGGCGCACAGCTAATTGGGGCAGCTTCGCCGGAGAGCAATGCACACCTTCCAAGATGGAAGACTACATCCAGAAAAAGGACGAGTTCCGCTTCCACTTCACAGGAATCAGTTTCCGCCTCCTGATCCAGGTCCATCCATCCGCCAACCACGAGCTGGTGAACAACTGGAAGCGTTACGTGCAGCTCTCAGCTCAGCGCGAGTGGTCTCAGCGCTTGGGCATGGCACAAGGGCCACAAGGAGAATCCCTGAGCCGGCTATAGGGAAACTTCAGGCCTGAGGAGATGTGATCCATGGAGGGGTAGAGGCAATGACATCTTCCAGGGGATGGCCGAAACACAATGACAAGTTGCCAGCAGCCACCCTATATAAGTCATTGCACAGTGAAATGGTTTGATGATTTTAAGATAACAGTTCCAGATATTTCAAGTAGATTATTGATGGAATTGTTAGGCTGGCTCACAAGCGTGTCAGCCAACAGGTAGTCAGCAGCCGCTGGGTGTGGAGCAAAGATGGCGGAGAAATCGAGGAACAAAGCCGACACTCAATTATGGCAAAGCCAAAATAGATAGAAAAGTAATCTACCACTATACTTGAGGAGGATTTTACTTTTCCATTCTTGTTGGGTTTCTCACCCAGCCGAACCATGCAAGTCAGCACTGCGTGACGGCTCCATCAGCTGTCGAATAAACCATGATTTCTTGTTGGGTTTTGCAATATAATGTCAGTTGACAATCAATTGATAATCAATGATAATCAAGGTAATTAATGTCAATTGCTTGGGGTTCAAGGGTAATTAGCCATGGGGGTTGGCTCCAGGTTGCATGATGCGGCACACGGACTTTGTGGAGATGACGGCGCCCCTGTGCCTTGCCTCACTTGTTACATGGGTTAGTAGATGGGGCGCCATGCATTGTTAAATCTACTCGAGTAGGATTTACGTGGATGTACATTTGGTATACTCACTATACTCGACATCTATGTCGTCTTCGGATCGCTTGGGTCAAGGAGAAAGGAAACTGCCTGATTGCACTCACAAGCAAAACCTTGTTAACAGAGAGAGAGAGAGAGAGCAACTGTTTGGAAGAGGTTTTGACATCATCAATTGCATTGATTGAACTGATGCTGCAGGATGATTCAAATTCATATACTGTAGTTATAGTTATAGTATGTTATAGTTATTATAGTTATAGTTCTTATAGTTATAGTTATATACTTACGTATACTTATGCCCCAAAACGTTTTCTTCTTTTCATCGGCGCCACTCTGTGGTAACCATTTGCCCTGTGTTGCTGTGAGCCCAGGTTGTCATCTTTGGTTTTGCCACTGATTCTGCAGCCCAGCTCAAGTGGCGGGTGGGAGTGGTCTCAACCTTTACGAAAAAGGGAAACATTGATTTGCGCAAACAGGTCAGTCCAACAAGCGACCATTGAGATGCACAGTCGATGGGTTTATATAATATATTCTTTCCAATTTCTTTCCCACCTTTGGATACTAAGGAAGGATTGTACAGAGCCTTGGTCGAATTCATCACTGCCGAAGCTTCCGGCATTTGATTTGGGATTGTGCATTTTTTTTGATTGACGAGCCCAGGACTGTATCCATGACAATGCAGAATGGGGTCTGGACAGGCGGCTTGCATACATTGAGATGTCGTTTCGAAACAACATATTCCACTGCAACAACTTTGGATCCAATTTCCTTTCACCTCACCTGTTTTCATCCTTTTTGTACCAAGGAACCTGATGCACCTTTGGGTTCTGTTACTGGTTCAAGTTTGCCCGAACACATTGTGGCCCTTTGGGTCAAAATTTCTTTGACCCCCTCATACAATCTATCCTGTTCACCCTGCGGCCCCCTACAGTAATTGGGTCAACAAAGCCTGGCATCGCAGGGTCTGGTGCGAAATGGCATCTGAGCGCTTCTCTGTTTCTGCAACTTGGCAAAAGCCGTCCAGTAGCCCTGGGTCGAAATTGATGACCCCCAAAATTCAGAGAGTTTGATCATTTTTGGCGCTGAAGATCGCTCACGCATGCAATGTTGGGGTCCCACATTTTGACTTTGACTACAACACTCGGTTTGGAATTTGATGGAGACGGCTTGCTTGTGATCCTTACCCAAACAGGAGTCACAGTTTCAAGGGTTTCGAATCTTGGCAGGTTGGAATTTTCAATGATCTTGCATTCTTCATGTTTTGGGATGACGATCCAGCTGACCAAGTTTCAACATTTTGATGAGCCTTCTTGGCAGTTCCATCTCAGGCCTGCACCCTGCTGGACGCCACGCCTGTGCGCCACTTGGATTGGCACACGGCCAAAGTGACCCCCGCCTTCAAAGACGCCGAGAAGAAGGTGAAAGCCAAGCCCGGAACGCCCAGCAGCCTGTGGATGGTGATGGGCATGGTGGAGATGGATCAAAAGGTCTCGGAATGTTTTTGATCGTGAAGTTTTCCCATCCCTTGTTGCGAAAGAACGGGCTCTGTTTGGAAATGGAATGTACAAGGTGATGGGAAGCATGTTGATAGATGATAAACCACTGCATTTTGCGCGTTTACTGAATTTTTGGACAAAGCCAACAGATGACTGGGATGACTGAAAGCTGCACCTGACCTTTTCCCCATTTTGTTTGGGGTCTCCGGCTTGGCTGAATCGATGCCGAGGTACGGGAAATACTGGGCCCAAGTGAGAAACCTGGACTGCATGCTGGCGCATGAGCAACGTCGGGTGACGCCTCTCGGCTGAAGTGTTAGATTTATTTGATGTGACCTGGTGAGCCTATTGCTTGGTTATGGGTCAAAATTGGACATGCCCAAATACCGGAATTATCAATGCTGAAAATGGTCCAGAGGTTCTGGTTCCGCCTCAAACTATGAACAATCCCCAAACAAAGATTCCTTAAATGAAAGCATTTCCGTTCACCTCGCCATCTGCTACCGAGGATCGACGGCCATGGCAATACCAGGGAGAGGTGAGATGCAGCGTAGGATCGGCCACAGGTGCCTGGGCCGCCTTGGAAGAAGACATATCTTTCCTAACCCTCACAGCAGTGTAGCCGGAGATATTTCTTGTTGGTCTCCAGGTCAGCAAAAACATGTAAAAACATGATCTCGTGATCTGGTTCGTTTCAAAAACATTTGTTGTTTTTCGATGTTTTTCTACATCCAACCAGGATGATCCCAATTGGCTAAATCTGTAAATCTATGTGGGTATGGGTTGGGTAGTTCACCGACCAACATGGGGCCTAGGTCTTCACGGATTCAACTTCAAGGTGTCAAGGCTCACAATGCCGAATCCAAGGGCGGAAAAAGGTCGGAAAAAGTGCGCATCCGGTGGGTCATTCCAGAATTGGCAGAGGGGAATGGTCTTCACCGGCATGGCCTTTAGCAACTTGTGGCTGTTGCTTCACTCTCTTGCCACTTTCCTGTTGAAGCAATACAATCTACTGGGGAAATCTACAAACCTCTTGTGTTCGATGGTGAAATTGGCAAAAACCTGTAGCTTCCTGCGACATTTCCATTGGGATCATGGTGGTTTCCTCGCGAACCACCAAATTGAGTCAGTGACAGTGGATTGTGCAGACTTGGCTGGTGGGACGTCCTGTGGCTCCGCAGGACATGTCAAAGAATTAAGGAATTGAGATGGGGAAGCTACCGCCACATAGCATATGTAATCGTAGCTGTCGGGTGTGGGTGCGCGTGCAATGGAAAGCCGATTGCCGCGAAAAAGTTGCAGGACCCTCGGATTGGTAATTCACGATTTCACTTGGTATCCCCCACCTTGACCATCCTTGACCCCTCTTAACCCAGAGCACATCAGAGCACATCAGATGTTGCCAATTTCTCACCCGAAACCAACCCACTTGTTGGGATTTCCCCCAACAAAAACACCACATTCAAAGTGGTAAAACACATAAAACACGTTGGCATCAGGACAGTGACATCGACTTCACCGGAGTGAACCTGGTGGAACTGTTCGACTTAGCTCGTTCCTCCGGCTCCCTGTGCCTCGGCTGGCGGTTGGGACTTGGGTGAGTCGGACGGCAGCAGCTGCTGGGAGGATCGTTGGGCTGATGGCACACAAGGTTCGCGGGCAGTGGGGTGTACGACAAGGAATTCATTTTTCTCTTTCTTTAGCAGTGTTCAATGCAGAAGTTGAGGCCGAGCTACATTGCACCCTCTTTGTTTCTGTTTTTTGCTGGCTGTTTGAGGGATCCAGGTATCAGAGGAGTCCTTTTGATTGGCCTGTTCTTGGCGACACAGCGCAAGCTGATATGGGATGTACCCGCACCTTCTGTAAATCTCAAATTGTCAAGGCGCTGTTGCGGAGCCACAGCAAAGAAGATCACGAGATCAATGTGCTTGGATGCTTGGTGAATTTACCGATGAAATTTCTTGGACACAACTCTATGAACAATTTGGATCAGGAATGGTACGAGTAGTCATTTCAACTATCAATAGGTATCAACAGGTGGAGGATCTCTTTGATCAACAGCAGTCTTTCTACTTCAAAGGTAACCAGCAAAGCTGTCAACCTCCTCATGTCAAATCCCGACAGAAAATACAACCGGACTGCTGGGGGGAGCGCGTCACCAGCCACAGGAAAGCCAGACCCACGCCACTTGGCAGAAATTGTGCTTGCTCTTGCTTGTGTGAATTGAAAATTTCCACTTTTCAACACTTTGGGCATTGTAGGTTCTAGTGATTCGTGGTAGTGCATGATGACCCCTTTCTGCTTCTGAAAGCCATCACTCCTCAAGCTTCGAGCCATTCCTGGAGTTGCTCCGCACTTTGTGTGCCCACTCAGTTCCCCCGATCAGATGCTCCGGTCCGTCTTCCACTTTGCCGGCAGAGCCAAGCCAGCGCTGCATGGGGGACTTCTAGTAGTGCTTCTAGTCTTGGCCCCCGCTACACGTGCAGCATTTCCTCACAGCGGCACGGACGTGAGTTCCATGGAAGATCTTCTTTCAGATTTGCAGTACGGTCCACAGGCCGTGCGCAAGATCATGGCGATGCTTGGGCCCAAATGGGACGGTCCTGTGACTTGGCCTCCAGGAAAAACAGTCAAGATCGCCTTCCACGAGGTGGATACCGGGAAAGAGCCCAAGATTTTTGTGTGGAAACCAGAAAGTGAAGTTTCTTTTCGTGAGATCATCATGAAACAAGCCGCCATTCGAGACTTTGAGATTTCCTATCAGGACAAAGATGGAGACAGGGTGCAATTAGATGCCACAAAGTCTGCCATTGAAGCATTCCTTTCCGATCACAGCCATCACCCGAGCCCCAAGCTCCTGGTTGTGTGGCGCCCGCCCACGACTGGCGAGACCATCCAAAGCACAGTCAAGAAAGCCAAAAACTGGTTGATTGGAGGGGGTGGTGCCACAGATCAAGCTGTGCAAGATGCACAGGAGAAGGTGGCGAAGCAGGGTGGAAAGATCGCTATGAGCTCTGGTTCGGGGCGAAGCTTGGTTGATCACAAGGGCTACCGGAAAGAGCTTTGGCCAGCGGCAGTGAAAGGGCTAGCAAAACAGATGGGACTTTCCAAAGATCAAAGAGAAGCACTCCAGAGTGCGGGACTTTGCGAAGATGCAAAAGCTCAGCACTTTGGCGAGGACATTGTTGGCAACAAGATAGTCACTCAGTTCTCTGCCTACCACATCGTTCGCCGTGGCGACAAGATCGACGTGGTCTATGGGAAGCACGTGGAGTCCATGGAGGTGAGCGGAGGAGGGACATCTTTGCCAAGCGAGAACTGCATCCAGTACAATGACACTCTCTTCGCCGTGTGGCCGCCGGGATCTCCACACAGCACGACAGAAGCAAGTGACATGTATGGTTTGACAGTAGAGATTCCTTCTGGGTGGCAGGTTGTGGATTCGTCCCAAGAAGGCTTCGACAACATCCGGCAACGGGTGATCGCTCCATATGGGTGGCACACAAATCGCCTCCTGACCAGCGGCCCAGACGGTAAGCTGCAGGGATGGGGCACAGCTAATTGGGGCAGCTCCGCTGGAGGGCAATGGACACCTGACAAGATGGAAGACTACGTCGAGAAAAAGGACGAGTTCCGCTTCCACTTCAAGGATTACAGTCTTCGCCTCCTGATCCAGGCCCATCCATCCGCCAACCATGAGCTGGTGAACAACTGGAAGCGTTACGTGCAGCTTTCAGCTCAGCGCGAGTGGTCTCAGCGCTTGGGCATGGCACATGGAGGAGCCATCGAGGCGTAGAGTCGTAGAGGCAATGACATCTTCCAGGGGTGACAGAAGCGCCACGGCAAGTTGCCAGCGGCCACCCTACGTCATTGCAGAGTGAAATGGTTCGATGATTTTATGATAACATTTCAAAATTTATTTCAAGTAGGTTTTTGACTGGATGATTTAGGCTGGCTCACAAGAATGTCAGCCTTCGGGTAGTCGACAGCTGCTGGATGTGGGAAAAACATGGAAGAGAAATCCGGGAACAAAGCACATACCGAATGTAGAACCTCCAAAATAGATAGAACAATCATTAAGCACTATTTGGAGATCGGATCTTACTTTTCTATTTTCTTTGGTGGTTGCTATACTTGGCGTGATTAATCCAAGTGTAGCCATTGGGGCTTCCTCCAGGTTGCATGAGCGGCACACAGATTTTGTGGAGATGACGGCGCCCCTGTGCCATGCCTCAACGGTTGGGGGTGGATGTGGGTTTGATGTGGATGAAGGTGCCATGCATTTGTTAGGGATTCTTGGGGTGTTTCACGTGGTGTCAATTTTTGGATACTGACATGTTGTCACACGGAGACGGCTCTCTTCAGATGTCATAGAGAAAGGACATGACATCCATTTGCGAAATCTTGACCACACAGGAAGCATTTTGGAAATCAGCGATGGAACTCATGATGCAACATGATAGTCCCTCAGTGAACTCTTGCTTAGTGCATTTTAGATTCAGGTTCCAATTGGCAAATTTTCAGCATCCAAAAAGATTCCGTAGGCATTGGGGGAGGACTAAGCACCATCAACCTCGCGAAACGGATGGTTTGATACTCAAAAGCGGCAAATTTGTGGTTCATTTGTTCCCACCAGGAACTGGTGTAGCCATCCTCTGTTGCTGAGAGCCGAGGTTGTCATCGTTGGTTTTGCCATTGATTATGCGGCCCAGCTCAAGTAGCGGGTGGGTTGACATTTTGCATGCTGGTGCTTCAACCAGTGCAACCAGCAAGTCTTCGCATTGTTTGATGCAAAGGTGTTGGTTTCATATTCGTTCCCAGCTTTGGGTACTAAGGAAGGATTGTACAGAGTCTCGGTCGAATTGATCACTGCCGAAGCTTCTTGCATTTGATTTGGGATTGTTCTGTTCTTTGATTTTCTGTGCCACAGCAAATCCAGTACTTTATCCGTATCCATGACAATGCAGAATGGGGTCTTGACAGGCGGCTTGCATTGACTGCAACAAGTGTGATTGGACGGAGCTTTGGGTTAAGATTCCGTTGACCCCTGGGTTCTGTTCAACTTCTGCCTGCTGTATTTGGGTTACCAAACCCTGGCATTGCAGGGTCTCGTGCGAAATGGCATCTAAACGCTTCTCAGTCTCTGCACCTTGACCTAAAATGTGGGGGTCGAAATCAAACACCTGGGGAGCTGGATCGTTTTGATATTTTGATGCCACATCTCGACGCCCAGTTGGGAATCTTGTGGGCACGAACAAAGATGCATGTGGAGTGCTAGATATCAGCCAGCTAGAAGTTCAGGGGTTTGTGCACAGTTTCAAGGGTTTCAAATCTTGGCAGGTTGGAATTTTCAAGGATACTTTATTTTTCATCTATCTTCTTGGGATGACAATCCCCAAGTGCCCTGTTTGCAGCTCAGGCCTGCACCCTGCTGGATGCCACTCCGGTGCGCCACTTGGATTGGCACACGGCCAAAGTGACCCCCGCCTTCAAAGACGCCGAGAAGAAGGTGAAAGCCAAGCCTGGAACGCCCAGCAGCCTGTGGATGTGGATGGGGTGCATGGTGGAGATGGATCAAAAGGTCTTGGATAAATTTGCAGTGATTTTTTCATGTCCTCCCCTTTTGCGAAAGGACTGAGTTTGTCTGGAAATGGGGTCGATCCCAAAATGGCAATTTCAATAGGAGCTATTCCGATCAATGATAGACCATTGGATTTTGGGTGTTTACCTAATTTTATTATCTAATTTTTGGACAAACCCTTATGCGGATTGGCACAATCGATACCGAGGTACGGGAAATACTGGACCCAAGTGAGAAACCTGGACTGCATGCTGGCGCATGAGCAACGCCGGGTGACGCCTCTCGTCCGAAGTGTCCGATCGATTTGGGGTGGGTAGGATGTGCTGGGTGTGGGTCAAACTTGGATGCCCAACTACCCAGCAGAAAGGCTGGGATGGTCAATGCTGAAAATGGTCCAGAGCTTCTGGTGCCTCAAGTCATGAAGCATGAATACATCCAGAAAGAAAGATTCCTTTCATGATAGTTTTGGTTCGCCTCCTGATCTGTGGGTCCCTCAGGATCGACGGCCATGGCAATATCAGGGAGAAGTGAAATGCAGCATAGGATGGGCCAAAGGTGCCTGCGACGCCTTGGAAGAAGACATATCTTTCCCAACAGTCACAACAGTGTAGCTGTTGATATTTCAAAAAACGATCTTTTGATCCGGTTGGCGGTTTCACAACCGGGCAGATGATCCCAATTTACCATGGACTGTAATTTCATGAAATTTCACGTCAGCATGGTTGGGTTGGGTAGTTCACCGACCAACGTATGGGGTCCCGGTCTTCTCAATGGACTCAACTTCAAGGTGCCGGGCTCACGATACCGAATCCAAGAGCCGCGGAAACAGGTCGGAAAAAAGTGTGCAGCCGGTGGGTCATCCCAAAATTGGCGGCGGGGAATCCACAGCAAACCTCGAAACTGGCAAAACACACAAGGCTTCTGCAATACTTCCATTTGAATGTCATTTACTATCATTGACCTACTGGTTGTTGATTGGGGTTCATCCCTTTCTTGATCAACCAAATGGGAAAAGGACATGTAGCTGGGTAAATTGCACTTCACAAACTCAAGCCAATGACAGTGGATTGTGTAGACTTGGCTGGTGGGATTTCCCATGGCTCCGCAGGACATGTCAACGAAGTGAGACGGGGAAGCTACGACTACGTAGCGTAGCAGCTGTTGGGTGTGGGTGCGCGTGCAATGGAAAGCCAATTGCCGCGAAAAGTTGCTGCTGGGCTGCTGAGCATTGACACTTCCTCTTGCTTTGGATTGCCAGCAGTCAACACAAACTTTCACCCAAAAGTCTCTGGCATTTCTGCATTCACTGACCCACTGCATGATTACCGCCATGACCGTGGCCTGGGCTTGAAATCTTCGGCTGGACCGCAGATCTCAAGGGTGTTTATTTGCAGACTGGGGCGCGGCGCGGCGATTGCGAGAGCCATGTCAAGTCAGAACATGGAACAGCAGCGCATGCGCGGAATGCTGCTCGGCTTTGGACAGATCAGACGGCCTGGTGGGATGTATTGGATCTATTCATGAAATGGGGTCCCATCAAATATGAGGTATTTCCAATTAGATTCGCCATGATATCCAGATTTTATGACGATGACACCATGTTAAATCCCCCATGTCGGGAGAAATTCTGATGGGGATGATTCCCATCCGGCAAACCGTCCCAGCTGAGGCTGGAACCCCTCCAAGAAAAGGACATGGGAAGGGATGATGACAGCGATGTATTCTGGAAGGAATTGGAAACTGATCTCAGGCTGTAGCCTGGGAGAAAGATACTGTGAGACTGTGATTTTCCTTTGGCAATGTTTGGCAGATGATTTCCTATTGGACTGGCAGTTTTTGTGGATTTTATTTTTGGTGACTTAGTGGCCGGGCCCGCGAGGACCCTGACATTTCCCAAATTGTGACGTACTCCAAATTCGTGGCCCGGAGCTTAGATTTGAAGCTGGTGAAGCTTGTTAGACTGTCAGGGCCCACAGGTCACCTGTTAATGAAAATGGGACAAAGGGCTGATTCAATCTCAGCCCTGGTAGCTTCTTCACCTCATCCCCAGCACTTTCTGAAGACGTCACCGTCGCTGAAGAGTCCCCCATAAAGCCGGGAGAAGGGAGACCAGGGACCACTGGGACCACGCCCAGGTTGCGTATTTCTTGCAGCAAGAGGGTGCCAGCCCGGGCTGGCGGAAGGCCAACATCGAAGGGCCAGTTTACCTGATCAAGAGACAAAAGGCTCCCTTGTGTCTTGGGATGCAGACAGAGCTTTCTTTTTGCATGAAAGAATATAAGCACTTCTCAATTCTGCACAGCATTTCAGAGAGTTTAACCGCTGTATGACCCCTGTCAACTAAGTTATCAGATCATAGTCAAGAACCAATTCAGCAACAGCGACCTGATTGACAACCTGCAGCTCGTCCGCGCTCGGGTCAAAAGGGGCCAGTTTGGTGTTTACACCATTTTTGCTGAAGGAATGGGGGCCCCAAACCTAGAGTTTGACTTTTGGAGGCGATCAGTTGGGGCACGAAACCAAGGCATCCTGATTGGGAGCTTGACTGTCCGGCGACCCAGACACCGCGGCTCAACCTGGCTGGCACAGTGGCCTTGTGGAATGGTGCCCGGCCGGTGGCCTGTGGTGGCCCTTTGTGGCCCATCACGGCCCATCACGGCCCAGGTCAGAAGAACTACATCTTCTACAAGATCGAGGACACGTGGCATCCTCGGGCACTGGATCCAATTGGACAGATCTTGACTTTGGATCGTTTGCAGCAAAATTCATGCCCTACTGACCCCTGTATCAGTTATGTTAGTTATGTTCACTTAGAGCCTTTCACCCCTCCCCAGTTTCCAGTTGAAGGCTGTTTGACACCTAAGGAAGCAGCAGATTCGAGGCCTGTGGTTCCACAATGATGCGGAGCGGGTGAAGATTGAAACCATGTTGGAGCAAACCATGGCTACTTGGCGAACTGCCCCAGTGGCGCATGAGGATTCAAGACCCCAAGGAACCAGAAGTGGGTTTGTCGATCCCAATGGTCTGTCATCATTTTCCAAATAGCAAGTTTGGGGGGGTATCCCCGACCATTTTTGGACAAACCCAAGTATAGTTTTTTGTTTTGCAGGTACTCCCAACTTTCAGCCATAAATTGAGCAGATGATCATACTGCCGAAGAGCCCGATTTTCTGTTTGAATCACCAAACTGCAAAGCTCTGGCTGTGACTGAAAAGTACTGGAGAATTTGAAGGGCTGCAAGAGTTCAACATGCTTCAAAACTTTCCGCCCACATCCTCCCCAATGTTGTGGGCTTCTGGGTTTCTTGTTGAATCATCTGTTTGGTCGGTGCCATCAGGAAGAGCTTCGCAGCAAGCCGGAGAAACCGGACGCTCGAAGAAGATGGAGGGTGGGATCCAACTGAGCTCAATACATTACATATCATTACATTGTCTTTAAAGGCCTTGCAGCTGAGTCAACTTAATCTATGTGTCATGCGATAGCACTTTGAATGCTTAGTAAGGACCTCACCATAGATGATTTTTTAGCAGGAGGAATCCTCCCCGAAATGCCAAGCTTTTTCTCAATGAAATTTGTTGGTTCCAGAGAAGATTGATTTCCCAGGAGTAAGGTTGATACCCCAAACTAAAACAGGCTTCCATGAATTATGATTTAAGGTAACCATTTCCCATTCATAATGTGTTGATCTTTCCCAAAACAATCAATTTCAATGAATGTTCCATGATTGATAGTGGATTTTCCCATATTTTTCCAACATTTTCCCATATTTTCCCGTTAAAACCTCCAGAAAACCTCCATTCAGTGCTGGGATCCCCACCAAAGGCCACCATCCTTCGCCCAGGCCATGCCGCCTCCTCAGCGCGAGGCTCCTTCTGCCAACGGCGATTCGCAGCTCCTGGGCGACGTTTCGTTTGTTTCGGTGGAGGCTGTCCGAAGTCAGGGGGGTTCCCATGGGGGTTCCCATGGGGGTTCCCATGGGGGTTCCCATGGGGGTTCCCAAAGTCATGGGATCCCCAACAGCTGGGTGGTTACTGGAAATTCCATGGGTAAATTGATGATTTGGGGGTACCCCCATGACTTAGGAAACCTCCATATGGTCCACTATGGGTCAAAAGCAAAAAAAACATATTGAAGATGAAGATCTAGCACCAGTTATGACTGGTACTGAGGGTACCAGGGTTTGGACTTGGGGATCCACCCTTTTATGAACCCCCCGCAGGTGGGGAACCAACGATCTTTGCATGTTTTCCTGGTCATCCACCGACGCATGGAGATGCTGCTGATGACGACACATATAACAATATCATATATAATATAATATCAGGTGAAGTAAACATGTGTATATATATATATACACATACAGAATATATACGACAATGACTCTCTCTCCCTCCCTCTTTCTCTCTATCTCTCTATATCTTTCTCTCTCTCTCTCTATAAATATATAAATATAAATATCTCTCTCTCTCTATATATATATATCTACATATCAACCTATCTACCTATCTACCTATCTACCTATCTACCTATCTATCTATCGATCGATCCATCTATCTATCTATCTATCTATCTATCTATGTATGTGATACATATATCATATACCTACATATAATAAACAAGACGACAGCAGCAACAACAACAACGACAACAACAACAACAATAACAACAATAATAATCAACAATCATCACAATCATCACAATCATACTCTTGTACATCTATATCTATATCGATTATACAGATGTTGATCTTCTTACCTATCTAGATTCTCCAGCATCCTTTGAGTCCCGAGTCCAAGGTTGGGCCGCGATGATCCAGCAACTTGCCGAAAAGCAGGTTGCCGACCAACCAAGGGACTTCTCTCAGTTCTAGGTGCTGAGGTTGGTGTTCTCAACATGTTTCAAATGTATATTTCAACTGCATGGTGGCAGTGGAAGATGTATCATCACCAAGAACAAGACATAGTAACGCATCGTAGTCAGCGACCAGCTGCGCCTGAGGACACCGTGGTGGTGAGCAGGGATTCCGTGAAGTCAGTGCTTCAGGAACTCGCGAATGATGATGACTTTGTGACTATGGTTTGGCAGCCCCTCGGCGATGTCAGAACTGCTTAGACTTGGTTAGACTCCAAGACAGGCGAAGGATGTGAAGGATGTGAAGGATGTGAAGGATATGAAGGATGTGAAGGATGTGAAGGATGTGAAGGATATGAAGGATGTGAAGGATGTGAAGGATGTGAAGGATGTGAAGGATGTGAAGGGAGGTCACCTTTGACCCAGAGTTTGATGATTTTTTTGGTCAAGTTGAGCACCAGATCAGGGGTTACGTCCAGAAGTGGCTTCTCCAATGGGTCAATTTTTGGGTGTGTATGTACCTCCTCATGAATCTGCCAAGGAAGCTGAAATCGAAACCGAGTATGTGAGGCTCAGCACTCAGTTGGGATGGAATTTTGGCGGTTACCATCTGGTTATGACTAACATAGCCATGGAAAATCACCATTTTTAATAGGTAAGCCATCTATAAATCCACGGCCGCTTTGGAAAACATCGCCCGGCTGAGGGGAATCTCTGATTCTGATAGCGGCATTGGTTAGCGGTCAATGCCAGCATGGGCAATTTTATTAAGCGACCACTCATCCCGCCGATCGGCAACTTTTTGCTCTGAGAAAACATGACCGCTCAAAATCTGGACCGGAGGTTTCCAATCGTAATTCGTTTCGACACGTTTTCTTGATCAACCAATGCCACGAAACGCAACATTCAACTGACCTCATGTCCAGCTCCGGTCGCGTGGAGTTCGATTCAATTCGAGCTACGTTTCGCTGTTTGGGCCATGCCACAGAGCCTCAACACGTCTCTCTGTGGCCAGAGCCACTCTTGCCGCAGATGGGCGGCTGGGATCTCTGGCAACCAAAATTTGGACCACAGAATAGCAGAGTTGTCTACTCTCCAATGACTTTCCTTCCATTTCTGAAGTGTATCATTGATTATCATTGCGTGTCCATATATCATAATTCATCTAATATATCATATATCTGGGTAAATTATAACGACCTCACTGCGACCGAACCCTGGAATCATGGTTTATTTCGGGGAAATCATCCCCAAATGGCCCAACTATTCAGGTTAGTGAAATATTGCAATTTTCCCAGAAAAATATGTACTGAAAAGGGATAATCATGTAAAAACATGTGCCTGGACGGCCTCCGCGGCTCCTGGGTACTCTGGGGTACTCTGGCAGGAGTCGACTCTAAAGTCTCACACAGACGCATCACACCTCGTTCAATGCCACCAATAGCAAGCGCAAAAAAGGCATCAGTAGATATCAGTGGCTCATTTTACCACAATCAAATTGGATCCTGCCAAGATAATCCAAGATAATGATCTGGAAAATGAATGAACATTAACTAGTGATTGAATGCCCAATAGATTTGTAACAGCTGGACTTTTAACTAATGGGATTTTCTTAAAAGGGAATTCAACTACTAGCAGGATTTTGCCACATTGGTTTGTTCAACGTGATTCAGCCAGTGTGCATGGGAATGAAACTATAGTGATCAACAGTAAGATATGGGTTTGTCCAAAAATGAGGGATTTATCCCCAAACTGTGGCAATTTTGATGGGAAAGAGGTGATGAACCATGGAATTTAGGGGTAGCCAGATTTTTGGACAAACCAAATCTGTGGACGAGTGGAGTGTTTGGTGGTTTCACATATTTTCATCTTCAAATTCAAAACTAACTAGTTATTTTGATAAGTATCCCTGGTATTTTTGGGATGGGTTGAATCTACTGAAGAGATGAGCAGGTCAAGATGTTGGGGATTTATGCGGCTTTCATCCCAAGAGGAAGACTGGATTCATCGTCACAGAGGTCAGGTTTCGTTTCACTTGAGAATGCAGGAGCCATCTTGACCATTTCTGCCACCCTGATCGGCTCCAGAATAGTCAATGGGCCAAAAGGGAAGAACCATGGCTGCCTGCAATTGAGCGTTGACTGCGGGGTCATGGACTTTGTGTGGGAACCTCGGTGAGCTCGGTGATTGAAATGTCAGATGAATCTGATGAATCTGGTTTTTTCCGTCATGAATCATTGATGAATCGATGAATCTCGTAGATCCCATTTGGATCCTGAAATATCTGAACACGCGAGAACTCGAATGGCGAAGTGTGACCAGAATGACCAGAATGACCAGAATTCAGAGCTGAATGTTGAGGCCCAAAAGTACAAGGTTCAGGACTCAGCTTGTGGCATCGGAGACTTTGTAGCCTTTTGCGTGAAAAACTTCGGTCAACTTCTGTACCTCTTCAGGTCTCAACATGATGACGTGCCAGGGTCTGGCTGCCTGATATGTCCAGTTATGCAGTCGGGGAAAAACACGGAAAAATCAACTGATTGGTCAAAGCCCTCCCCAAAAAGATAAGAGCACTGGCGGGGATCGAAGTCATCAGTGCCTGAAACTGCCCCAGTTATTTCTGATCGAATCATTGTTTTGTACGTAAGACAATTCATTTTATCACGCGGAACTCAACATTTCTCATCTTTTGGGTGGCCATGTGTTTCATCTTTTCGAGTGGTTGGTATCCCAGACATGGTTTAAGTGAAATATGACAGGAACCATCGGGAACCTCTTTTGTTTGTGCTTCCAAAAGCCAGGGTTTTCACCGCAACAACATCCCGTACAATGGTCCGTTGAAATCCATTGACTTTTTTTCAACCCCCAAAAGATCCTACGGAGTGATCCATTGGCAAAAAATCCCCCCAAGTTATGCATTTTCGAATCAAATAGGACTGGGTTATATATATATATATTATAATATATATATAATATATATATATATACACATCATTTTGGAGGAATGAACATCCATCGACCAGATATTTTGGGGCTCACCAACAATGGTGGGTCAACGGTGGGATTTTGAGGTTCAGCGATCCCCTGGAGGAATGGCCGCAGCGGGGGAGCTCAGCGAATATCTACATGTCATCATGGATATTGGGCGTAGATATCCTGAATCCTAGAAGTGATATTTTCATGATATTTTCATGATATTTTCATGATATTTTCATGATATTTTCATGATATTTCCCAAACTGACATGCTTGAATTTCATGATATTTACTCAATTTTACTCATATTTACTCTCCGGTTAGAAGGGAGCTGAGGAGCCACGGGCATCATTTCCGATTAAATGGGCAGCCAGTTGGAGCCAGCAATGGAGTTTCCCAACCAGGCAACGCATCTATGGAGACTTCTACAGGGAGCCAGTGGAAGACGTCACGCGAGGTGCTGATATTTTCACAGACGTGGCATGGGTGCGAGAGTCCATATATCGGATGGTGTATGGAATACGGAATGACCAAGATCTGTGGCTTGAGTTGGGGGATGTTACGTTGGTCGTTTTTTTTTTGTTGTTGTGCTTTTCATACCCGTCACTACCATCCACTGCCATGAACACATGGGGTCCCAAAGGTCTCAGGATTTGTTGCCCTAAACATTTTTGGTGCAGACATCATCCAGTTCTTGGAACATTATTTACCCTCTGGTAAACTAACATAGCCATGGAAAATCACCATTTTTAATAGGTAAACCATCTATAAATGGGCCATTTCCCATGGCTATGTTAAATAACCAGAGGGTAATGTTGACCCATGCCAATGTCCACAAGATAGAGCCGACATGATTCACCACTCCCGTGGGGTGGTTTGGAATTACGATTCAGTATCACCAGGAATCCAAATAACCAACCCAGTTATCCACCAGTAGACCATTGGTTGATACCTTGAGTAAATGTCAAGACTATCCTCCACAATAAGTCTTCACCATTAGGACGCTTGACAATGTGGTGCTTGAAAAGTGTTTTTTTTTTTTTTTTCGCAGGCGTTTCTTTCGCCGAGAACCTGGAGCCGGCAGGAAGCTGAAGGGCATTGAAGGGCCCCGCGGGGTATCCCCCATGGCTATGAAATCACAAGGAAGCTGAGAAACCGACAATGGATGGAATGGGGTACCAAACTTTCGGACAAACCCATAATTTCATATATCATGTATAATATGTATAGAGGATTTAGTTCCCCAGAACTGGAGATTCACTTGACATCAACATGGGGGGCTGAAGCCCAAACTTGGCTGGTTGTGCAGCCATCCCGAGAACAAGGCATGCGACCGATGACCAAGGCTAGTGGCTTCAAATTTGGTGGCGACTACTACCGTGACAACGAAGACGTCTTCAAAGGCTCCACCCTGGCATCATGCCAACATTCTTGTTCTATCTGATAGTTGGGAGGGAGCTAAGGAGCTACCAAGAGTTTCCTAACCACATGACAGTTTTTCTTCTTAGCCTCGCTATTTGATTCTTTCCAAAATTCATTGGGTCACTGGTGACAATTTCAGGGAGTTCCCAAAGCTCATCTCTTCAGATCAATCTTAGTTTGTCCAAGAATGGAGGATTTACTTCCAATTGATGGACATTTCAAAAGAAGAATCATGATACACCATGCAGGAACCCCGTTGTAGGTGAGTTTATAACCACGCCACTAATATATATATATATATACACACATATATATATACACATATATATATATACATATATATATATATATACATATATATATACATATATATATATACATATATATATACACATACACATACACATATATATATATACATACACATGTATATATGTATGTACATATGCAAATATATATATAGTTGTATATGTATATATTATATACACACCACAAATCGAATCTTTATTTGACATAAAGAGATATAGAAACCCATCGAACTTGGGGGCCCTTTCAAGCGAGGCTTGACACTGGAGCAGCTGCCTGAGGAAAATTTGTTTGGCCTTGACAACGACCAAGGCCGTTTGACTCACCCTGACCCACCATTGGCCCCCACCATTGGTGGAGGATTCGCATTGGTTTTTTTTTTGGGGGGATTCCATGGGGAGAATTAATCAACAATATGATCCCTCTCTGTTGGATGATTTGGTCGGGCACTATTAACCTATCCGACCTATCCTTTAAATACTTGGGGCCGATCATCGTCCATTTTTTGCTGGGAATCCCGTTTCAACCAACCAGGATTGAATGGAATGACAGAGGAATTGTTTTGGTGAAAATTCATGACCCAAGCATCCACAGATCAGCTGGTCACTTTTGCGTATGGGTCACATCTTTCGCAAGGTTCCATGAACATTTGGGGGGATGAACCTGCTAAATTTCGAGGTGAAAACCCGGTGTAAACAGTTGAAACACAACTGTTCAGGTGCTTCCACACGCATTTTTTACCATTGTTCAGGTGATACATTTTTTGTGAAAAGGAGATCGGGTCACTAGTCCGATTCCCCCTAATATTAAACACCGCTATAGACCCTACATCCACCATGATTTCTGGGGGCTGTTTGATATTGGGGGGAAGCGATTACCGGGGATTCAATGGGATACTCATTAGGGATATAGAACCATTCACCCCAGTATTTTCATGGGATATACAAGCATTTATCATCATTATTCCCAGTATATAGTGGGATATACATGGGTATCCCATAAGGTGATCAAGAGGTGATCAAAAACCCATCCAACCTTCGGTATCACTTGATGGAGGCACCAAGAAGAATCCATGGTCCTGGGGTAGCGCCACCACTGCCGCAACTGAGAAGAGTTTTGATGAGGGACTGGCCTTCCAGGTGGAGTTGGGTGGTGGATTCAGCACCATTTTGGTGCTGATTTCATGATGATTTCCAGGGGGGTTTAACGGGAATTTCAACCACCCAAAAATGGGGAAACTTGCAGAACATTTGCACCTTTAATGGGAAACACGCTGACAATTCAATTGAATTCTGGGTTGCCCCATTTTAAGACAAATCCATATTGGACTGAAGAAAGCTAAGAAACATTGCAAATAGATCCGACAAAGTGGGCAGAAGACTGACAAATGGGGGGGAACAAGACGGAGAAAACTGAGATGATCCAAGAAATGTCAGTTGCAAGTCTATGTAGGCAAGAAAATGGTGATTTCTCCCCCACCAGCCTCGTCCCAGGTCCCCTTGCTGGGCCCTGAGCATTCTGGTAAGTCCAGCCTTGTCAGCTCGATCCAATTCTTTGAGGCGCTGGGTTGGCGAGACAGCTTGGTTCTTTGGAAGGTTTCTGTGAAGCGGTTGGTGGTTTCACCTCATTCTGAACAAAACTGCGAAGGAATCATAGGAAGAGCAATGCAATTTCAAGAAAATCCAGCATTGAGCGGGTCCAAGGGCGAAAGGACTCAGGTGGGAATAGAACTGGATGTGAGATCTCAAGGTGACCAAGAGTTTCAAAAATGCATTTATTTGTCATCCCCAAAACCCAATTCCCTGGGTGATTTTGAGTTTCCTCTGTTGCAACTCTAAGACCCGTCGAGTTGACTGTGGGATTTCATGATGGTCGGGGTATGGGTCATAGGTCTAGGGAAGAACAAATCTGACCAAGGTGTTGCAGCATCCGTCAACTCCAGTGAAACTGCTCCCCCAGCATGGTAATTATTCCCTTCACCCCGACCAAAAAGAAACTGGGTTTAGCACAGAAAATTGGGCACGTTGGGGTTTTTTGTCCTGTATATCTGGGGGATAGGATTCCCTTAGAATCCCGGCGTTTGGTATGTGCTTGAAATCGGAAGAGGCACCTTGCGACAAGTTCCAGAAGGCACCCGTGGGTTGAAGGAACATCAGTGCCTGGTTTGGGAATTCCACCCTAAAGATCCCCAATGAATAGAACCTGCCGTCCTGGCAGTGTGATTGAAAGTTAGGGCACCCAAAATGCAATGGTTTCAACTCTCAGTTTCCCATAGTTTCCCCATAGTGACATATTGCTAGTCATTTATCCCCATAATGGCTGCTGTAATGTCAATTTCGGTTACCCTTGGGCAATCTAAGAAAGCTATGGAAAAATGGTTCGCTTGTAGATGATTCACCTCTCAAGCATGGTGGCTTTCTATGGCTGCGTTAGATTACCAGAGAGTGCTTCGCCCCAGGTTTCTGCTGATATATCACAACCTGGGGGTAAATCGCGTTACATCCCATTATACAAGCAATTGTATATCCCATGATATATTACATACGTACTACAATCCTGTAAACGTTCACATAGATATAGATGTGGAAGCCCCACCGCAATCATTTTCGGACCGGGAAACCATTTTTTTTTGGCATCAACTCCAATAAGTAGGACTTAAGGTAGATGTATCATGATGTTTCTATAGTATTTTAATGTACTTTATAGTTGCTATAAACCAACTTATAACTGGGGGGGCACCACTTTCCCTAGAAACCATCAGCACGGCCCAGTCTGACCTTCCTCCGCCGAAGCCCACCGATCCGCATTGGAGTTTGGAGGACGTCTCAGCAACGGGTTCAAGTTGACCTCGACATGTGGTCCTTGTTTTTTTTGTTAAAGATACCCTCTGGTAAACTGACATATCTATATACAATCTATTAAACATGGCTCATAGAAATAGTTGATTTACCTCTTAAAGATGGTGATTTACCAGTTCGCAACCTGTAAACGTTTACCAGAGGCTATTTGGATCATCAGAATGGATGGAGCAGGTCAGAAATTCCCATCGAATCTGGGTGAACTGGGAGAGCCACCTCCTGGATCGGATCGTTGTTTTGAATGGGCAAAAACCATCCACCACAATGACCGGTTGAACCCTCCAATCATGGATCACACCACCTAACAATATACCATACACAGATCTCCCATGGTTTTCCTCCTAATTAGGTATCGTTTTTCGAAGTCATGGCCCCCTTTCCATCCGCCTAACAAGTTCGGTTTCGTGTGAAAAAGGGTACGCAAGAATTCCCCATGACTAGACAAATCTATTCCACCTATTTTTATTGGTAAGATCCCACCTACTGGAGTTGATTCTCCACACGACTCTGTTGCAGAAATTCCATTTATATCCATTTATACCTGCAATGCACAATTTGTTTCAGGTTTGTAAAGTTTAATCCGATCAATATTCAATTTTTCCCGTTCCGATTCTTCCACACCCGTTTCTGTTGATCAAATCCCCTCAAAACATCTCCATTTCCAGGAAAGAGAAACAATCTCTTGGTGAAATCCGATTCATCTTGGGTTAAATTCACCATGTTCATCAATTTTCCATGGTTTTCCCATGGTTTTCCCATAGTTTTCCCATGGTTTTCCCATGGTTTTCCCATGGTGAAATCACCTGTTGCGCCCCGGGAGGTGACCAACTTCTGCATTCGCACGCCAACTCCGTGGCTCGTGGGGCGCGATACCTTGGATGCTGCGCTGTGTTCAGAGCACTACTTGGACCTTTTGAGAAATCTGAGTGGAAAAATAGACTCTATGAAATCTATCTTATATCATTCCATATCTAATGTGTATATATAATTATATATATATAGATACATATCATATCATATATATATACACACACGTATTAGTAATATATGTTCATATAATATGTATATGCATGTGTATATATATATATATACATATATACACATCAATATATGTTTGATCTCTTTTATTACCGAAGGATTTCTTGGGAGTTCCAGGTAGCTGACATTGCAGAAAGGTTGGCAGTTCTTGGCATCAGCTTGGCTCCGCTTTTTTTCAAGGTGCTGTCCCTTGGCTCCTGGACGCGTGGGTCAGCAGCCTCGCGCTGCCCATGTCCCATGGCGTCCCATGGCATGGCCGATGGCGATGCGAAGTTGATCCAGTTGATCCGGATCCGAAGTGGTTGGGGAGTTGATTTCAAATGGATAGAAAAAGTGATTTGCTATCATTTGCTATCTGGTATTCTAACATAGCTATGTTGATGATCAGAGGCTACTACAAATTGGGGCTACAGGTTCAACTCCCCAACCACTCGGTTCCATTGGGTAGGACAGCTGTCAAGCCGGGGGGGATGGTGGAGCAGGGTGCTGCCCAGCAAGGATGGTACAGGAGGTGCAAAGACCTGGAGAGTTGTATCAGGAACTACCGGAAAATGGCCACTTTACGCCCACGATCAACTTGACTCCTGCGGTTATTGGAGGTGTCGTCATGATACACAATACTCTGGACCAAAAAGAGAGGGCAAGATACGGAAGATCCCTTGGCATATCGGGTACCGCGGCAGAAGAACTCAGAGATTCCAAAGGACGCCTTCCCTGAACTTCCAAAGTATGGAGTGAGTTGTTCCAGTTGTTCATGGCGGCCATGACCTTTGCTGCCCACTTGAACCACTTGAACCACTTGAACCACTTGAACCACTTGAACCACTTGAACCACTACTTGTAGGTGGCAGAGTTGGTAGCGGAATCGAGTTGCACTGTTGAACGCACCAGCCACGGGAGTCACGGGGCGACGTGCTTTCAGGTTCTTTCAACGGTGTCCGAGCCCTGCAACAAGAAAACTGACACGGCACAAAAACCGCTGAGGACTTGTGTCCCTGTCGCCCTGCAACAAGAAAACTGACACGGCACAAAAACCGCTCAAGAGGACTTGAACAACTTGAACCAACAATATGAAGATATCCAATGAGTTGTCCATGCGAGGCATGAAACCAATGTAGCTGACTATTTCAGAGTCAGAGTTTGCTCCACCACCAGAGTTGAGTCTGAGGTGGAGGCAGACGGTAAAAATCATTGTTGCTTGGATGCGCTGCAGGAGTTATGACTTTCGTATCGATGTAGATCTATCTATATAGATATAGAGACATACATGTAGGCTTAATTATATATACTATACATGCACATATTCGTACATACTCATGCATATGATACAAGTATGTAGACTGTAGCTGAGAACTTTCTCACAGATGTAGCTCTTTTCAGCAAAACCTATCATCCATTGTTGTTCTCTTTAAGAAAAGGATGAAAAAGGAGTTTAGCCAGGTTTTTCTGAAAATCGCCAGGAATCATTTGTGGACTTTCTTGACTTACGAGCTTGCTTCTCCCAGCATCAAGGCTGGATCATTTCTGTGCCATATATGGATCTACACAGCAACCAATGAGATTCAAAGAGATAGGTGGATAGAAAAAGAAGCAGCTGAAGAAATAGATAGATGCAACTGATGCAACCGTAACCCACCTTGCATTGGATTAAATTTACCAACATGTGAACCGAAGCTGAGGGGTTTTGCAGTGTCAGGTGAGTCGTTCTCCCAAATTCGCGCTCAAAGCCGATGCCTTCGTCGGCAATGTCAGTGTCTTAATTCGCCGTTGTGTCCTAGGGTTTCCAAACATAGGAATAGAAGATAGTGGCAGACAGTGGCAGATTAGACTTGACCCACATGGATTTTCCATTTTTGTACCGGTGGACGATTCAGACACCTGGATCCAGATGGAGTGAACTGCTCTGCAGATGTGGGACTGAGGCGAAATGTACCCTGAAGATTCGGGTCTATTTCATCGAGGGCGAAACGTGCTCCGGGGGACCTCTATGGCTGCGCTCACGCGAAAATGCTGGAGATGACAATGGTGGTATGGGTCAAGTCACTGAAGTAGTGACGCATCACAGCCATTTTTTTCTGATCAACCATGATAATTCAATCGTTTATAAAAAGAATCAACCATAATAAACCATGATAAACCATAGCACAGTCATTTGCAGGTCAATTCTTTTGACCCATGACACAATGTGCAAGAACAAATTTCGCGAGCAGTCTTGGGACCACGGGGTGCCTGTTCAATTTAGAGCTGTTGGATAATTCAAGAGCCATTGGGGGTACAACTTGTGGAGAAAATATGTCCAAATATGCCCTGTTCCCTTGGATGTATCCCCTTCCAGGGTGACGGGGTATAGACTCTACTCCTTGGGGTATCGCTGCAGCATTGGGTCCAGATCCTCCAAACATCTGCAGGTATTGCGTGGAATTTCAGAAACGAACAGGTGATGGCATCGCTTTCAACCGAGCTTTCAGACAGGCGAGACGCGAACGAAGTTCAGGAGTTGCATCCAAACGGTTGCCATGTCATGCGGACCGGATCACATCCATGTCATGTGAAGCCTCCAGCAATCCGAAGTCAATTTGTGGGACACGTCTTGGAGGCAGTGAAGTTTTTGGACTCTTACTTCACCGTGGAATCGACCATTAAGGTGCCGGGATCCGATGCGGCGACAATGGTCGCAGAATGACAGCGTTATCACATGTTATAAGCCATTTGTAAATGGGATAATACCATATAATAATATAATAATATAATAATAATATAATATAATAATAATATATATATAATACCCAGTTACACCAGTCACACTTTGTCATTATATGATGGTTTCTCAGAAAATAGGCCACAACCCCCCAGTTTATGGCAATTTCCATGGGGAATCTGATCAAATTCCCCGGTGGAGTATGGGATACACAGCATTTTTGGACCGTGGCAACCTGACACCAGGAGAATCCGAGCCCAGTATGCGAAAGCCCCATTTCCTCGGATGCTGAGGCATGAGTGATCCAGGAAAGCTATGATAACTATGGCTACTGCTGGAATTTGAGAAAAAAGCTGTTTGCATCAGGGCTAAATGATGCTAAATGTGTTTTTTCTTTTAAGTAAGGGCATATTCAGAATCAATTCACTAACCTGTTGCAAATATGGATTGAACGGGACATGTATCAATCATTTGGGTCAGCCGCACACACACTCCTGAAATGTGTTAATGTTGTTGATACGTCTCAGCAAATAGCCTCACGGTGTTTCATTGCGCATAAAGGACGTCCCAGAACATTGAGTATGTGTTGATACCCCAAATGCTGGGATGTGATCCAGTGCCACACTGGGCATGAGAAATGATGCAAAATTCGCACGGAGAGACTTCAGCCACTGGTTGTAGTGCAAGGAGATATAACGTGTAATACGGATGTATATTTTGTATATCTAAAGGGTTCTAAAGGTATAATTATATATACATATAGTATTATGCATATATGCATATGTATGTACATGCGCATTAGATTTTGAATAAGTATACATTGGGACACGTATGTATAATTCACATGTAAAATAGCTGTTGCATTGCAACGACGTCACCACAATGTCACAGTAGATGATGTTCCCTAACCTTACCTATTTTATATTGGCAATTAGATAGCATCATATCCATGTGTATGTATACATAATATATATGTATATATAATATTATATATATAGTTCAACCAAAAATGTAGTTACGATTCCAAGTCCCAATATACTTAAGTGATTGCATTTGTGATTAGGGTCACCCTGAGGATTATGATGATTACGATGATGACGATAATGACGATAATGACGATAACGACGACGACGATGATGATGACATATGATGACAACAAGGACCATGAGAACAACCATGCCAATGATGTTGCAGCCAGGCGATTAGATGATTAGATGCTTTTTTTGCCGATGCCTCGCTCAGATCACGCCATTGCTGGACATGGCCAGTGTGAAGCAATATCCTTGGCTTCAGGCCTGTCACGCTGCTTGAAAATGGAACCTGTCTGTTTGATGGTTTTTTTCGGCCTCATCCCCCATTGAATTGGCCAGTGATCAGTGGGTCCTATTGACACCAGCCAAGTCTTGGTCACATTTTCAGTGTTTTTCCCAGACACTGCCAGACTTTGACGCGGAATTGCTGGAATTTGCAGCCGGACAGAACTGTTTTTTTGAACTTGACAAACTTTGGCAAACCCAATGATACACCAATCCCAATTTTACCGGGCTTAATGTTGGGTTTATCATATGAACTTTGACACATGCTGTTTCCCAACTTGAAGCATCTCTTTACAACAGCAATATTCTTGTCAGGCTGAGTCAGCAGCAGCCCTGGCGGACATGGCAAAGGTGCCACAATTTCACATTGTGAAATTACCCCTTGCACAATTTTACATTGTGAAATTACCTTATACAATTTCACTTGGTGAAATTACCTTACAATTTCACATTGTGAAATTACATTACAATCTCGCACTGTGAAATTACCTTTCTTGACTTCGGTAAAATAACTTTAACTTTAACTTACAATATCAATTTATTTGAATTGTTTGCTTACCTTGACTCTTGTAGACTTAGGATCTTGAAGCAGAACTACTTCACAATATGAAATTACCGAACGATTTGACAACTTGTGTAAACAGAATAGGTGATACTATGAAGGGGATGTGCGGTAATATAATTCATATTGTGATTTTTCTTCTGACTGAATGATTTGCAACGTCTGCATTGTCACATTGCGAATTGCAGACTTTTGCAGACCTTTCACGTTGTTAAATATAGGCAGACAATTTGTTACTCGGATTTGTGTAGACTTAGACTCTTTTCAGCAGAGCTTCTTCAGAATACGAAGTTACCGAAACATTTGACAAATTATGTAAACCGAATAGTGAATAATAGGAAGGGATGTGCGGTAATGAATATCATTCATATTGTGAATTTTCTTTTGACTGAATATTTTGCAACGTCTGCATTTTCACATTGTGAATTGCAGACCCAGCAGGTTGTGAAAGTGGGACGCTTTGTTACGTACCGATGTGGTGATGAAATAGGATCGTATGGACGGATATCCCCCATGCAATATCTATACGTATATATATATATTATATATAATATATATCTAATATGTATGTATATATACATATATATATATACATATATATACATATATACATATATATATATATATAAATATGAGTATATACATCCGAGAAAATCCCAGTGACTCATTTTACCTCTTGGCTAGCTGTGTATATATTGTTGCTACTTTGGTGGATTTCTAATGGATCGCTTTACTTTCAGGGCATATGAATATGTTGAATTTTTGTGTATGCAGCAGACAGTCGGGTATCCCAAAATAAGAAGGTTCACCACTAAAACAGGTTTCATTTTGAAGGATCCGCCGCGTTCAACTTGGGAGTTCCCAAAAAAGCGGCGCCGTGGCTCCTCAACTTTCTCGCCCTGATCCATCAAATGTCAGCAAACTCGAAGCATGTCATCCCATTTTGTCGCATGACCCCGTTTGGGGTCTTTCAACGTGGGATCCCCAAAGTCACCATCGGTTTCTGCGAAAGGCAGGTGCAAAAAGTCTGCCCTTTTCTTGAGCCATGTGCAAACGGTCATCCTTGTGCAGGGGCCATGCAATGAACGGTCGTCCAAAAAGCATGCCAGTCCTACAGTAGACAGCACTTCTTGATTTGTGCGTGTCATTCTTTGAAAACGGCACCACACTCCCCCAATGTTGCTAGGTGCAACATTTTCGGTGGCCGTAACAAAATGCCAGACCAAAGCTTCGTTGGCTGGTCTTATAAAAGGAAAAGAGCCCTGCTACATGTCCTCCTCTTCATTCTCGGGAGTCTCGGCAGCGCCCTCGTTCTCATCTTCGGACACCAAGGAGTAGTCGTCGGTGGTGTTCCCCTCAGACTCCAAGGCCTCCTCTTGAAAGCTCTCAGCTTCCTCCAAGCCCTCCGGGGGTGGGTCCAAGCGCCGTTCGGCCTGGTACGGAGTGCCCAGTGCCTTGGCGACCAAGGTGGGCTGTTTCGCCCATGCTCCAGCCACGGACCCCCGCGGGGTAATCAGCCCCGGGTCCCCTCTCGTGGCCCAATCTCCAGGGATCACCGTAGAGCTCGAGGATGCCAAGCCACCTGGGTTCTGCTCCGGCGGTTGCATTGCCATCCGCAAAGAAGCCAGCAGCGGATTTCCACCAGGTCGATCTCCAGCTCCAGTTGGAATGACCCCCATAGGTCCTGCCCCCATCGACATAGATCCGGCCGAAGTCATCTGGCCCACCTCTCGATCATCAATTGGCCCACCAGTGCCCATCGCAGCTCGTCCACGAGGTCCAGGTCCAGGGCGGCCACGAGGACGATCTCCTTCAGCTCCTGCAGGGGCCTGGTACCGGCCTGTCTTCGGAGTTGGCCTGCAGTACCCATCAGCCTTTGGCCATGGTGCCGCTCCAGTTCCAGGTGGCGGGTAGGCGCTTGACATACCGCCCTGCTTCGCCATTGGTGGCAAAGGGTCCTCATCACTCCAGGTCACTATGTCAGGTCGGATTCGAGGGAGACCTGAGCTGTTGCCTCCGGCTTGATCCCCTTCTCGCACCCGGAAGAAGGTGTATCCCTTCCATTGGTCCACACCAGGAACGGGTTGGCCACCAAGACCCCAGTAGTCCTGATGGATCATCCTGGTCCATGGGCGCCCACCAGGGCAATGCCAGATCACCGTGACCCGCTCTGCCTCCAAATCCTCCGGGCGGACCGGCGTAGAGGTGTGCACTGGGTGGAACAACCTCGACCGCAGCCCTCCATGGACTCTGCAGTACCAGCCACCCACCAGCGACCTCCAGCGGTCCGAGTTCCCAGTCGGCATGCCCTGGAACTCCGCGCTGTTCCAAGGCCCCTGAGGGTCTCCACCAGCCATGGCGTGCCCGCCCAACGCACAGAGCCGCGGGGTGACGGCCGAGGAGCCTATCAGGCTACAGTGGGTAGCATAGTCATTAATGCTAGTTTCCATTGGGCCTGGTTCATGTTCTCTAGGCCTCTTGTGATGTTCTTGTGCTGGTCTTGTTTCACTGTTTTCATTCTTCATGTTAGCCATAGATGCCAGCCCTTCATGACAACACATCCAAGCCGTCAGAGCCGACAGGCTAACAGCTCCGGCAGTTTTCACCAGTTGGCTGGCTCCGTTTTGGAGCACCAATCCTCCAAGTGCAACTACCGCCTCAACCAGGCGACAAAGCCGTGATGTTTCATCCGGCATGGAAAACTTGGTCAAACCTAAGGTCCTACGGAAAGACTCCCAGCTGGTCGGCAGCACCACAGGCTTCGTCAGCAAATCGGCCGCCAGCTCTGCTCCAGGAACGTGTTCCACATGCCACTCGCGAGAAGCCAATCGCTCTCGCAGGACAAAGCTCCTCAGCCTCAGGTGGCGTGTGCGCCAAGGACCATCAGGCGCCAACAACAATTGGATCCCGGACAGGTTGTCGCCTCGGATCTCAAACTGGCCATCATCGATCATGGCGTTGTGCTCCAGGATGTTCAGGATAACCTGAAGCGACTCGCCCATCGTCAGCGCATCCACATATCCAATGAGCTCGGCCTCCGTACTGCTCAGAGCAGCAAAAGGTTGCCTTTTGCTCTCCCATTGGACCAGAGCGCCACCCCACAGTGCCAATATGCCTTGGCAACCACGAAGTCCCTGTGGGGCATGTGAAGCATCCGACAGGAGGGTGAGCTTCATCAGCTCATCGGTTGGCTCCCCCTGATCTGTCAAACAGCTCTTGTAGGTCAAGACAAACTCCCAGGTCTCCTGCAGGTAGCCCAGCAAGTAGCGTCCCAGCTCCTGAACCTTTTTGGGGCACTTTGTCACCCAACCGCTCAAGGTCGATACGGCGAAGGCCAGGTCAGGTCGGGTTCGACCACTCAACCAAAGGAGTTCTCCCAGCAACTGCTGGCACCTGCGAACATCCGCAGGGTCAATGCTGTCCTCCACATCCGGAGCCATGTCAATCTTCGGAAGTGGAACTTGGCGACCAGGAACTGGACCATGTCGTTCAAGAAGCTCGCGGGCAAAGTCAGGCTGACCCAAGAGCAAGGAGTCTCCCTGCCATCTGAGCTGCATCCCACAGAACTTCAGCCATTTGACCTCGTTGACCCACTCCACCTCCGAGCACGTCCACTCATCCCGGATTCGGCCCAAAGAAGCTTCAACCACATGGCGAGGTCCAGCACAAAGGATGTCATCCACATAGACAATGAGGAAGCCAAGAGGATCCGCATGAGCATCATCGTTGATGACTGCCTCCGGGTAGTTGGTCTTGGAAACCCCCATGATTGACCAGATGTTGGGTTCTGGCGATCTCGCCAAGTGGCACCGATGGGTTGAAGTTTCCCATCGGAAGGACGACATGCGGCAGTCCCTGAATGATGCCCAATCTGCTGGGGAGGTATCTAAACCATACATGGCACCGTCACAGATCCAACGTTCCTCCGCAGAGACTAAGCCAGTTGAGGTCAAAAGTCGCGGAGGCTCCACCACCAAAAGCTGCCGTCGGGTCTGTGATCTGGGAGCCAATAGAAATGCCCCTCTCACGTCCGTTGATGCCAAGGACCAAGAAGCCCCTGCTGCCTTCCTTAGGACACACCTCAGAGCCGTAGAGTCAACACCACCCGCATAAAGATCTGCGGCAGCGGCCGGTCCACCACCTCCAGGCCTTTCGGCTCCATCCCCATTCGGGTCCTTCCCATCCCCGAGGTTCTGCACTGCCGGTGATGCTGCTCCATGAGGTCGATGACAACCATGAACTCCACCATCAGGAAGTTGTGAAGGTTTCACATGCCCAGCAGGATGCACCATGTTGCCGCAGATGACGATTCTCGCCTTCCGCTTTCCCGAGGGTGACTTGATTGTGGGGACAATCTTCGCCGGTGCCACCTCCATCCGGTCGTAACCTGGCTCATGCACCAACTGATCCACCTTCACCCGGCGAATCGTTCCAGAGCTCACCAAAGCCTCCATCTCGGCCTGCAGCGGCTCCTTCCACAAGTTGATGTCCTTCTTGACTTCGGCCAGCGACACTGTATAGGTTTGTAGCACCGCTCGAGCCTGCTCAGGTTTGTCCAGAGGCTCCAGATCATCCACCATAGTCTCCATGCCCTGGGAGAGTGCTGCAATCCTGCAATTCGCGGTCTCCTGGTTCAAGGTCGAAGTGCTAACCAGCGCCAACTCCTCCTCCAGGCTCTTCACTTGGCCCTCCAAAAACTGCAGCCATTGGCCATGGATCAAACCGATCTCGGCCCCCACAGCTTCTCTAGAGAGTTCCTGTTCCCAAAGCTTTTTCCATCCCCAATGTT